CTGCCGCATCTCGCATCTCGCCTCATAATTAACAGCCTGATTTATCTTTCCCCTCTTTGTTATGGTATTGAGACAAGGTCTCTCGATCTAGCTCAGGCTGGCCTTGAACGATGTGGGCCAGACTTGCCCCAAAGTCGCTTCAATTCTCCTGCCTCAGCCTCCTGAGATCACAGGTGTGTGACATCATTCTCGGATACCTTTTCTCATTGTGAAGCTACAGTTGCCTTCTTCTTCCCTCTGGCTGTTATCTCAAAGTCCTGTCAATACCACAGTATCACTATTTTTTGAGATAGGGTTCTATTATGTTGCCAAAGTTGGTTTTGAACTCCTGTGCTCAGGTGACCCTCCCAACCTCACGTTCCCAAGGCTGGCACTACCCAGAGGCACCATGGTGCGCAGCTAAAAAACACTTTAAATGGCTCCCAAATGGAAAATTAAGATTATAGTGAGGTAAGCAAAGCGGCTGCTTACTTATCCAGAGGGCTTGCACCTCCTCCGAACAGAATCTCTGGGCGAGGGTACCCTTTGGTGGGTTGAGCAAGACCAAAATGCATGGGGTTTGGTCAAAGCTCATTGCTTGTATCTTAGTTCAAAAGCTGTAGCAGTAAAAGAAAAATAAGATGGAGAAGCAGAGGGCAGACTTAGGAGAAAGTCCCTTGAAAAACACATTTAAATAGCTGCCTAGAGAAACACAAAACAGTTCGTACAAAACTTGAATGTTTAAGCCAAGAGTTTTTGTTTTCGTTTTTTTTTTTTTTTTTTTTAACAGGATCTTGCTTTGTAGCTCAGGCTGGCCCGGAACTTGAAATCCCCCTGCCTCAGTCTCCCAAGTGCCAGGATTACAGGAGGCATGTGCCATGAGATCCAGCTAAGAGTTGACACATGCAGACCAGTATGTGCCTGGTGCTTCTTGTCCGTGTCTTCTGAGGTTGATTCTAGTGAGCTGACCTAGTCCATCGGAGGATAAGGAGGGACAGCTGGGAATGAATGCAGGGTGCCAAGCCTCACCTTTCCAAATGGTCTGTGCTGAGCACAGATGCTGCCTGGGGATGAGGTCTAACTCTACAGAAACATTGGCTTCAGGACTAATGCCTTGAGTGGTTATGGCAGCTCAGCTACCCAGAAAGGTGCTAAAGGCAAAACTCCTGTGCTGCCCACTGCCCGGAGAAAAACAGGCCAGCCTGCAGCAATAGGTGCTCGCCAGGTCCCGACTGGGAGCGGAGTGGAAGGCCTTGCCGTAGACCAGGAGCAAGTGCAGAGACTAAGGAGAAGCAGAAGGCACCTGCAGATAACTTCAGGGCTTTTGGATTTGGGAGGGTAAGACAGTGCTGATAAACTAAAATAACTAAATTTTCCTTGTAACTATTTTTTAGTGCTTTGATGCTGTCGAAGTCATTTTCCTCCTTTAAACTGATGATACAGGGACTGAAGTACTGTCTGCTTAAGGAGACCAAAGGGAAGCAGCTGACTGCCACCAATCACGCAGGGCATGCTCAGCAGCGATCACCATGCTCATGACACGTCCTCCTGTTACAATTGCCTAGTCTCAGGGATCCCACCCTCTGAATCCCACTGCCAGGGTGCAGGGCGTCGTTATCTTTTCTAAGTCTATCACAATTATTCCTAACTGGACTTTGTCTCAGGCCCTATCCGACTTCAAATCAGAATAATCATATCACCCCTCCTTCCCACCCCAGCTTCTGATCTTTCTCGGCTTCTAATTACTAAGGAATTGGCAAATGACTCAAAATAGCAGATAAGGATTTCAACCTTTTTGTTCTGAGAGGGTCTCGCTATGTAGTTCATTCAGCCTGGCCTCAGACTTGCAGTGATCCTCCTGTCTCAGTGGTGTACTCAGGCTGAGCCACCACTTTCCTCCGTCTCCAGAGAGGGTTGTCTTCCACCTTACTCCCTGACATTAAGGTCTCTGATAGGCAGAACACGATCTTCAAAAAATGACTATGTTGAACCTTACACTGAAAAGTGTGCTCTTCAGACAGCAAAGGCACTGCCTGGGAGCATGAGACACTCAGGCTGGCTGCATTTTATCTGTGAACAAACGACACAAATCTGGTTTCTCTGCTTTTTTTTTTTTTTTTTTTTTTTTTAATCCGGCATGGAAATCAAGGGCCACTTGCATGCCAGCTAAGTAGCTCTACCAGTCAGTTCCATTCCCAACCTGTATTTTTTTTTTTTTTCCTGAGATGTGGTCTCACCACATTGCCCCAGCTCCTGAGTAGCTGAGATTACAGGGTGCACTCCTCATGGTCAAGCTTTTATTTTTGGCGGTACTGTGTGTTTAACCCAGCCTTTGTGCTCAATTATACCCCAGTATTTTTACATCTTTTTATTTTGAAAACAGGACCTTGCTAAATTACTGTTTTACCCAGGCTGGCCTTAAACCTGTGATCCTTCTGCATCAACTTCCTAAAGCGCTGAGATTACAGTTGATAAACTGTGTGTGCACATACGAGTGTCACCGTGAATTGAATCCAAGGCTTAACACATGCCAGGCAAGCTCAAGCACTGCACTGCATCCGGCCATTATCTCCTCTTCCAACACTCTCAGTCCCCTCGTCCCTCTCCCATCTCTGCTCTAACCTTCCAGGCCACTTCCTTAGGCAAGCCCAACCAACCAAAAGTAAGCTTTCTTGTGTGGGCTCAAACTTGCTACCCTCCTGCTTCAGCCTCTAAGACTGCTGGGATTACAGACAAGCACCAGCATGCCTGGCTTCCTTTGAGAATGGAGTTAAATAACTCGTAATTGTGTAGTGTTCTGTCACTGTTTTACCATCTTAAAATTATGTACTTGCCAAGACCCATAATTAGGGCTCCTTGAAGGTAGACATTATTATGCATACTGTAGTGGTTGTTCAGTGAGTAGGTGCTAAATTTTTGAATGTTGGATTTTCCAAAAAGCCGTGGTACTCATTTACTGGATAAACCACCATATAGAAACCAAAGACATTTACTAATTGATCACTGCAATTTGGATTGAAATACTGTTGTACACAAAAACAAAAATTCCTATTAGTCTGAGTTTCAGATGAGGTCATTAAGTAATGTACTACAGAGTATGATCAAAATATAGTTACATTTTATTACAGTAGAAGACACTAGGCCATTAATCCCCTTAAAAATACCTTCCTCTGCCCGCCCACTTTGAACATATCTCATTGTTCTTGCTTTTTTTGTTTTTTTGGAAACACGGTCTCCCTATGTAGTTAAGGATGGCCTTGAACTTGCAGAGATCCTCCTCCCTCAGCTGCCCAACTGCTGGGATTACAGAGGTGTACCACCAAGCCCAGCATTCTCTGGGCAGTTCTGGAAGTCTTCTTTCATGACTGTCTTTAGTTGCATGTTATTGTTGACTTGATGCCCTGAATGGATTCGAAATGTTTGCTTTTCATGGTCATTTTGGGGAAGAGCTGGAAATTGCATGGTGCCAGATACAGTGAATTAGGTGGATGCAGAAATAGTGAAATGTTTTATTTTTATTTTTATTTTTTTACTTTTTTTTTTGTTTTGTTTTTCCTTTTTATCGGTCCCGGGGATCGAACTCACGACTGCCTGCTTGCAAGGCAGGCGTTTATGCCGCTGAGCTAAATCCCCAGCCCCCAGTGAAATGTTTTTACAAGCCTGCCTTCCCATTGGATGGTACCTGAGAGCAACATTCACTGTATTTTGATCACCTGTTATACTTATGAGCAGGAATGGCCTAGGAAAGTGGTAAAAACAGCAGATACAGTTTTTTGAAATTTCCAGGCCAGGCACGGTGGCATATGCCTGTAAATCCAGTACCAGGGAGGCTGAGGCAAGAGTATTGCTGAGTTCAAGTCCAGAAATTCCCACTGTGGGTTTTTCTTCATTTTATGTTTGGAGTACATGGAGATGTTTAACACATCTTACACAGAGTGAGTACATGTACCAAACACACCTTGATTCTTTTTATTCCGCTTTTCTCCCCACCCACCTCCCCCATTTTTACCATCATTATTACCACTTTCAGTTTGTGTTTGTGACATATAAATAGTACACTGAGGATAGCTGGTACATGTACATGCCTAGGCAAGCAGTAAAGACAGCAGTCTGATTTTGAAACTTCCATTGTAGATAGTATCATCATTCATTCAGAGTTGGCTGCATTTAATCTTCTCCCTCGGAACTTTCTTTACTGTGGTCTGTCAGATATGACGCCAATGAACACCTAATTGCAGACTGTTGGGAGATTTACAACCTTCACTATAGTGGTTATTATTTTCCATTATTTTAATTACATTAAATGAAATTCTAGACACTAAATATGGATATAAAAATATGGATTTTTAATCTCACCAGATTGCTATCACACTGTACAAAAATGTCAGTTAATAATGCTTATACATTTACTTAACTGTATAAAAAATGCCTGTATATTTATTAGAATCAAGATTCTAACAGTTCACATTACATTTGATTTTTGTATAAATTCTCCCAAATCTACAAAAATCTTTCTTCTTTTCACTAATTTATGTATGGTTTCAACAAGACAATAAACTTACATTTACCCTCCAACTGCCAGGAATGTTTAATGGGAATTCAAAACAGTAAGTGAGTAAGAGTACAAAGATAAGTACTCTGCCTCATGAGGGTATCAAGAGCAAGACCATTTTGCTTAGCATAAAGATGGTCTTGATTGAAACAGAAGCCATAAAAAAGCAAGATGTTGGGTATTAGCCAGGTGTCCCACTCAACACTAATTTGTGAGTCTCAGAGCCATTCTCTTCACTCCTAAATGTACAATCACAGTACAACAGATGAAGGAATCTAGACTGTAGTGCATGTAACAATGTAGTGCATGTAACCATGATGTCTGCATAAAACTGCTTACTACAAATATGTGTTTGCTTGTGGAAATCAGTGCTTATTTTTCATCTAAAAAAGAAAACTTACACAAAATACTGTAAAAATAATTCAACAGGTTAGAATAAGATGGCACAGACTCAAAAAAAGACTGTACATTTTTCCTCATTAATTTATCATTTAATATAAATGCTCACAGAAAGCAGATAAAGACCTTATAGATACTTTCATGTATTTACAATCCAAAAGGTGAACCATTTCTTCTACTTGTTAAAGTAAATCCTTTTATCTGCAACTCAGAGGAGCCTTAAACACTAATTAGGAGCAACAAGAGGCTGAGTCAGATTCCAAGGTAATAAAGAAAGAAATAGCGTTTTAACAAAATGTGGCATTTCTGGTATAAAGAACATGCATACAGGTGATACAAAACTCAAAGATGGCCCTAATCCTTTCAAAAATCTCCAATAGATGAAACAAAACTACTCAGACCCAGAATTCTGCTGCCCTAAACACACCTTTTTTTTGGGGTGGGGGTCTTTTTGAGACAGTCTTGCTATGTAGTTCAGGCTGATCTTGAGTTCACTCTGTAGCCCAGGCTGGTTTTCAACATGGAGATCCTCCTGCCTCAGCCTCCCAAATGCGGGGATTACAGGTGTGCACTACTATTCCTGGCTTCTAAACACACTCTTATTACTATTTTTTTTCCAGAACATTTGTTTTGAAGGCTGGTTAAAAACTGGAAATCCTAAACATTTAAAAAGAGGAAAAAAAGGTTCCTTTTTAAAGGGTTCCTCCCCCTTCAAAAGAACTTTCAGAAGATATCTTCAAGTAAGATTTCAGAACTTCCCAGATGCTTAGAAATTATTCAGTGTGAAATTCCAAACCACTATTTGTCTTCATTAAAAAAAAGAAAAAAAAAAAAAAGAAACAGAAACAAACAAACATCTGGAAAAAGTAAAATTTCACAAAGCTCAATATTTTAAAAATGAGTTGTCACTTTTAAGGCTCATTTTTTTTCCTTCCCTGAAGAGGTAAGTAGAGACAGGTAAGAAAAGAACAAGGGGTTGAGGCAATAGGAAAAATAAAAACAGGCATGCAAGAAAACTTTTAAATATGGTGTGGTGCTGATTTAGAAGAACAAGAGATAGAATTCTCACTATTCAAAACTGTATTTCCCTAAATCATGTAAAACTGACTCAAATCTCATGGGCTCCTTTATTAACCTAGGTTATTTTTTTCTGTTAAGTATACCTCTGCAGGGCACAATCACATACAATCAATACGATTGGTAAATTTCACAAGCTCTATCCCAAGCAAATCAATGTTAAAAAGTTATTTTTTAAAAAAAAGTAAAAATAAAATCCACCCAAAAAGGTGATAATGACTGCAGAAATGTCTCAGGGAGACTGGTATGACCCTAAAGACCAATTGACCATCGTCAGGGAAAAGGGTAGCAGGAGACTCAGAGGGAAGAGACCACACACCCAGAGAGGAATCTCACAACTGGAAAATGCTTAAGTGGATCAAAGGTTTTATTCATGACCTTAATTCACTTTTGCCATTGCTCCTGTTTCAAAAAATCACAGATTTATCATAAAGATAATGAGGCCCTTTTCACAATGTATAAAAGGCAAAAAAAAAAAAAAAAAAAAAAAAAAATCAAGTTCCTTTCATTCCCAGAAGCTGGGAAAAAGATAAAGGGTGGAAAAGGGTGAATGAAAACAGGTATCTGGAAAAAAAAGATCGCTCTGAAGATATCTCTTAAACAGAGAATGTCACAAAGAGAAGCAAAAGCTTTAAATGTCTTCAAGTCAGAAGAATATTTTATGAGATGTTTCAGATATAAGAATGGCAACCAGTCAATGAAGAGATTATATTAACAAATGGTGACTTAAAAATCAGGCATAAAACAACGCAGAAAAACCTCCTCTCCTAACCCAACCAGTTATTTACCAACGTATATTCCATCCTTTTCTTGACCTTGTTATACTCTCACTGGGGTGGGGAACCACCTGACAGTTTCCAGTTCTAAGATGACTCTGAGTATACAACTTAAAGTGGATGCCAAAGACTTGTGAGCTCTGTTGAAGCAGCAGCAGCAGCAGCACCACAAACCAAGCAGAAAAACCATCCAGAAATAGGGTGACCTTCATATAAGAAAATAAGTCACCTTATCTAGTATATGCCTTAGGACAATAAATTCCACAGAATTTTATTTTTTTAAATGCACATTTTCAGATGTAATAGTGTTTTGAGGTTAAGTTCTCTAGCCTTATTTTCTTTAAAAATAAAGGTTATCTTAAGGATATTTTGTTCAGGGACAAAGTTTAGGGGAAATTCAGTGTTTGGTTGAAAATCCAGAGGCTATGAAATCAAAGATGCCAGTGATGAGCTAGGTGCCTTTATCACAACAGGGTTCCAAAGAGCTTCTGTAACCACTTTGTTCAGTGCAGTATTGAAAACCCACCTACTGGAAACACATTTATTTACATCTCACCTATTCCTGATATTAGGGGTTCCTTATTCTTTTTTAAAATAATCTAGTATTACTTGTCAACTAGAATGTTATTTATGAAAATATCTTTAGCAACTAGAAATAAAATCTTAAAATTCCAATACTGTTATTCATTAAAATTAATAGTAAATGCCCTTTGACAAAAAAGTTTTCTTTTTGACATGGCTCGGAAAAGGTGAACTGAGCAATTAAAAAAATATTAACTGCAATTCTCTTACAATACTTGTTTGTTCAGTGCCTAAGACTGAGTAAAATCTGTTTTTAGTTTAGCAGCTCTAATTTTTATTATCTAAGAAAGCGATCAATTTTCAACACTGTAACCATGTATTACCAATTAAAATTTCAACGTAGTTGGGCTGTTTCAGGTACAAAATGTAAATAAACACTGCAGTTAATTTCTAGACAGATTATTATTTTTAACCTAGAAAATAACTAGGCTGTTTCTTTTCATGAAATAATAATCAGTACAGGTGGTTTTTACAGATAGATTTGGTGCAGGGAGTGGGGCAGGGATGGGTACCAGGAACCAAATTCAGGACCTCTTACTCTCCAAGGAGGCACTATACCACTGAGCTAAATCCCTGGCCCCACAGAGATTTTATATATCGAACTTTTACTCACATAAACAAAAAGTAGAAAATAATGAGACTCCTACCCATCACCACTGTGTATATAAGTAATAGTAACTGAATCTTTTTTAGTGCAAAGAATCTAGTTTCTTTGACTCTCAAAATAAACTGACTACAGCTTACTATTTCTCCCTGGCCAATGCTCACTTAAGATTATCATCTCATCACCTAATCATAATCATAGTACATCATCCTTTAGGCACAAGTGAAAAAACGTAAAATACAAAAGATGCAATCACGACAATATAACCTCAAACCAAAAAAAAAAAAAAAAAGAAGTGGGGGGAATTACTTACAATGTTATAAAAGATGACATTTACTCTTTAAGAAACACAAATGAATTTTCATTACTTTTTCATTTTATAAGGCCAACTATATAACAGTTAACGTTAGACAAATCTAAATACAATGAACTCACAGACACTGAAAAGTTTTACAATCAAAATGGCTACTTCCCCCCAAACCAAAACAGAGTAAAGCACAAGTCTTTGGCTCTCCTTTTAGAGAAAACAGCAGGTTACCATTCTTAACCAGACCTTTTTGCCTACCAGTAGGGCAAATACCACATTTGTGCATCACTGAGTAATAAACACCATTAGAAAAGGCAACTTCATAGAAGTTATTGGCTAAGCGAATTCATTTGAATGCTCTGTTTTGAGGCAGCAAACTGTCAATTGTTACAGATTGGGAAGGGCGGTGGGTAAGTCAAAGGGAAACTGTGGAATGGAAAAAGATCAGGAACAAAAGCTATTTAAGAGAAAACTAAGAAATTAAAGTTTGAGCTCCAACTGAAGACCCATGGAAAGTCTGAAGGAGTTGTATACTTGAAGTAACAAATGAGAATATTACCAGTTTTCTGACTGTAGGCAAAATAATAAACATATGACAAGAATGGGAAAAGGGAAGGGAAGTAAAATGGGAGAAAGAAATCACTGACATCAATGTTGTACCAAACGAAGTTTTTTCATATTTTGAGTAGTTGAATGTTTGTAGTTGACATTAGTAATAGTGCTTATCATGAGTCATACTACTAAAAACCTATGTTGTAACTAATTAGAAAAGTAATAAACAATAGGTCTTTGGTCACTTTAGGCTCTTTATATTATCCATTGCAGGGTAGTTATTACACTTATCTTACAACAGTATCTACAAATTAATCAAGAGAACAAGTTTCCTTTCAGGAAACAGTGTGGATGTCTTATTAACTCAAGTTTGTCTACCCTTGTCTAAAGACCTTTTCAAAACAGAGTAAGCCAGAGTACTTCCTATGATAAAACCCCTACCTCTGTTAGCTAAATATGCCTACTCCTCCTACCTTAATTCTTTCAGAAGTATTCATGTTCATCTGAGATGTCTAAGTCTTGCTTTTGAATTCGGGAAAAGCAAACAGTCTTATTAAAAGATACTAATATTTAAATAAGAAAGAATAAAAATTGTACTATCTAATTGGTTTCATGTCAATGTTTTAAAGGCACTAATGAAATTAAAAAGCTGAAAGAAAAATCAATGCTTTGTTAATTTGCATTTTAAAAGCAGGTAGAGTCAAGTAATTATGCCTCAACAGGTCATTAATAATTACTGGCTCCTTATAGCAGAGTACAATATCATAAAAGCAAAAGGAAAAACTCAAAACCAAACAAACTAAATTCCAAAGTTTGGGGTTTTATTGAATTCATATACCTGTTGGTGGGTACTAAGAAAGCTGTAAGAATTTTCATTAGGTATTAGGCAGAATGACCAATCTAAAATAGCTGAATTAGGCACAATGGGAGTACACCACTTTTTCTATCCAGGCAGATTGCATTTACAGTACAGGGTCTTTGAGGAATATTGGGAGGAATACTGGTAGAGTTCAAACTAAAATTTAAAAACTATTTTGCCCCCAAATGAAAATACTAGCATATTTGCAGGAATAAGAACAAAAACAATAGAATTTGAATGACTAGGAATCCCAAATTAATACATACTCAAAATGCAACATTTTTTCTGATTCTCAATCAACCCAAAACCCATATTGTTTCCCAATGTTGAAATCACTCACTCTAATTTCTAAAGCAAACCAACTGCTTATAAAACCTAGAAATTATCTGCTATATCCAAAAAAGAAATAAGATCTGCACAAATCTGCCTATTGAAGGTAATAAGACAATAATTTAGTCTTTTATTGTTACACGGGGAAATGAAAACTTTTAAGACTATCAGACAGAATGGAAGTTTCTTTCCTTCTCCCAATAAAGTATTAAGAGGGTTTACAGGGGGTGGGGGTGGGGGGAGGCCAAAAAAGTGAATGTATGAATGTGAGAAAGAAAGGAAAATGTATGTTTCTACTGAAAAAAATGCCTCACCTTCATTCAGTGCTTCTACCTCCCAATCGGTCATTTTTATCGCTACAGCTGCGCTCATGCGAAGAAATCCGTAAAACATACCCAATATATATACAGATATAGCTATGTATATATGTATATATAATATATATATAAATTTTTATTTAAATAAAAAAGAAAGCTCGAATCCCAAGCCAATATGTGTATATCAAATCCTTGACCAGCCAGGTCTGTAGGGCATAATCAAATTCAATGTGAAATAGTATATAAACATGGTGCCTTGACTGGGCAAATTAAATAATTGCTACTCAAAAGAGTGTTCTGTTTGGACTCTCCTACTGGTAGGCAATGGCAGGACTGTATTACCCTTCCCACCCACCCCCATTTGTTGCAGTTAATATGATGGACACAGAGCTTAGACAGAGGTTGCTATGACCTCAGCAGGAGTTAAGGGGTAGGAATATAAGAAACAAGAAAAATATAAACTTTTGCTTTACCCAACCAAAGCAATGCAGTAACTTATTACATAACCAGTGCTTTCTGATTTAAAAGTATAACCCAGAAAGGGAACTGAAAATATAAGGCAAATATAGGGATGGAGAGAGAGAGAGTGACTATACAAAAAAATCCCTGGTAAATGTTTTCTAGGGATTAAGTATAGACTCGTGGCATCAGAATATGTGCAGCATAACAATAAAAACAAAAACCTTCCTTACTCTTTTCAACGTTCTTGTGAAGAAACTTTTACTTTTCTAGACACTAGGGATTGAACCTAAGAGTTTCATACCAAGCTACATCTTCCAGTCCCCTTCTTAGTTTTTATTTTGGGACAAGGTCTAAGTCACTCAGGTTGGGCTCCAACTTGCAATTTTTCTGCCTCAGCCACTCGCAGTGCTGAGATCAAAGCGGGTGCAACCACCCCAATCTTTGAAGCAGCTTTTCTTAATGAGAAAGCCAACTCTATGAAGGCTGACTGCAAGGTATTTACTACCTAGTTATGCTAGTAATTCTGATAAACTATCCTTAAGACTCAGTTTGTATTTGCCAAATCTCTTTGAAAGCTAGGGACTCCAGTATACAGGAATTTTATTTTGTGCTTTTAGGTTTTGAACGTAAAAACAAAAATACCCACTGAAATAATATCCCTATCTATTCATTTTATGTTCAAATCAAGGGTTAGTTTTTAAAAAATGGTTGAGTATCCTATGATTTCAGCAAGTTAGAAAGCACAACTCTGAATTTCCAAATATAACCGTGAGTTCAACAGGCAATACACCAGCGGCAGATTTTCAATGCTAGCAAGTTCCAGTTCACTCCTAAAATAACCTTTCTTTTATCTAATCAAACAATGTAAACAATGGATCAACTTTTTGATTACATTAAGAAAATGCAGAGGATCTTTAACATGCAAATGAGGAACTCAAAGTTTCAATGTTTTAAGGAAAACAATGTATTCCTAAAGCCAGTGGTCCATAAAGGAAAGAATTACATAGAACAGCTCTGAGAAAATTTAGTTTGCTGCACATTTTCTAATAACTTGGTCTATCACTGTCTCTAAGCACCACAGAAGTCTCAGAAATGCCAGGGCTTTTGTTTTCTGGTTTAGTCTATGTGATGGCTAAAGTTGGGAAGGACTGGAGGTAAGGAATTATACACTGGGTATGTAATAATACCAAAGTACAAGAAAAACCTACTTCATTAAGATCATACAATTAATCAAACAGAGTGTATATATAATATTTTTTTTAAAGCCCTGGATCCAAGGCGTCCAAAGTTATTAAAATAAAGTTCATTCACAGAACAAAAACAAATTTAATCTGAATTGCTTGCAGATACTGCTAATTTTCCTTTTCTTTAAATTAAAAAAATGCATTAATGTGAACTATGTGCAGGGTTTGTTTTTAGTAGTGGTGTTTGTGCACATTGCCTTCGGTGCTTTTTCTTGATTTTTTTGACCGCTCTTCAAGAAAAAATTTAGAAGTCATCTGTTCTTTCACCTGTGCCCCACAAATTGATTAGGAGCAGAAGATCAAAGCAGAAACTCCTCCTATTTTAGGGAGTGGAACTGGGAGTGACTCCTGATCTCTGGGAGTCACTGTTATCCCCTCCTCCTTTAGGTTCCTCTGACAGGTTCAGAGAGCTGGTCTTGTTTGACAGGAGACTGATATCCTCTTGTGTCAAGGTTGATCCATTCGGTACATCACTGTTAACATAAAAAATAAAAAAAAGTCAAAATTTTTGGCCAAATGTCCCCACATTTAAAAAAAAAAAAAAAAAAAAAAAAAAACATGGGAAAGATATTAATGATTATTCTATGGGTATGAGAGATTTTTTTGTATGTGTATCTTTCTGAGATAAGGTCTTGCTTATGCAGTTCAGACTAGCTTTGAGTTCAACTTTGTAGCCCAGGATGGTCTCGAACTCTCAACGATCCTCCCAAGTGCCAAAGGAAACTTTTAAATTTGTCTATTTCTAATATTTCCAATTTCCTCCAACTTATTTTTAATCAAATATACAAAACAGAAGGAGGTACTAAGGATGTAGCTCAGTGGTGCAGCCAAGTTATGTATGAGAGACCTGGGTTCAATCTCATCATGAAAAAATAAACGTAGAGGTCAGGGTGTTTTTCTGATTTTTCTCTTTTTTTAGATTTTAGTATTGCTTTTACACAGAGCATATATTGCTTCTGTAATTTTTTTTAGACAGGATCTTGCTAGTTTAGGCTGGCCTTGAACTCACTATGTAGCCCAAGCTAGCCTCCAACTTGTGGCAATCCTTCTCCTTCAGCCTCATAAATGCCGGAATTGCAGACACATGCCACTATGCCTGGCTACTTTTATAACTTAAAAATAAGGCTAATTTAAAATAAATTTAAAAGCAAAAAATATAACAAAATTTTGTTAGAAATTAACAAATAATTCAAACTCAGGACTGTTTTGAGATAATACTTTATTTTTGGAGTAAGGTGTACACACTCAGATCAAACTCAAGAGTGTCACACACACCAGTCCATGGTAATTTTTACTTAAGACAGGGTTTTGGCAAGTTGGTATGGCCTCCCAGGCTGGCCTTGAACTTGCATTCCTCTTGCTTCAACCTCCCAAATAGCTTGGGATTACAAGCATGAACCATCACATCAGCAAGATCTATTTTTTTGTTTTTCAGTTTATTTGCACATGTGTATAATAAACCACACTCACATTCCTTGTGTGGAGCTGGTACATAACACATCCCAAGTTCTTTGTTTCAACCCTTGTTTCTTCCCTCCCCTTCCCCTCTGAAAATGATATTTCCTATTTTGTTTTCTTCTTTGTTTACCTGAACGTCAATGTAAGGTCCTCAGCTGGAACCTTACTTTGTGTTTCTGGTTGTCCATTTTCTGGTTGCTTACTTGTATTCAATTTGCCTTTCACGTCCAGAGAACACTGGTTCTCCTTTGAAAATAGAAGGAAATAAAGTCAGTTATCGTCTATTAAATGGTGCTAATAGGATGACCAAATAATTAAACATAAATACCTTGATCCAGAAATCATATTCAGTTTTATAACAAAACTAAAGAAACAGGCAGACTAGAAGAGACATACACCAAAAAAAATGAGTATAACCTACCTGGCTCACTATCTAAACTGGACAATACAGAGAGAGGGCCTCAAACTAGTATAGAAGAAAAATGTGCAGTGTATGAAATTCACAAAAATAGGCCATCAATAATTTAAAGACTATGAAAACTAGAAATGTTATTTGGTAAATTAATCATTAGGAACAGAAATTTAAAAATTCCCAACCAACTACCTTGTTTTCCTTAAAAGCTAACAAAGAATTCTACAACAGAAACACATTCAAACCAAACAGGAATGAAAGGGATGATATAACAGAGAGGGAGCTCATCTTCATGAGGATTTTTTTTGAGACAAGGTCTCGCTATGTAGTACAGGCTAGCCTTGACCCTACCATGCCTGGCAAGCACTATTTTAAATCTTCATCACTCATCAGAGAGCCTGGACTGAGCTCCGGATTATTCTAGAATTTTACAACAGTGATACAATCTCAGTTTTCATTTCATCTTCCCTTTTCCCCACCATGACACTTACCATACTTAGTTCCCGGGTTCTCTTCCCGATTTCTCTTTCTACCTGGTGCAGTTCCAAACTCAGCTGCTCACTGGAGATCATTGCAGGCCATTTTGGAGGTGGTAGAGGTGGCTGTGGCGGGCCTGCCAGGGTGTTTGGCTCCCTCTGCAACACCAGCCTGTTACTAACAGCCTAGTACATAAAGCCAAGCATATATACAACTCAACACATCACACCACGCAGAAAATAACCAGGCCCATTTCAGACTATAGCTACTTTCGCTTATCACACAGTATTCACAATAAAAATAACACAATTACAAGACAGTTTCTGAGAATCATTTGAATAAAAAAGGACAAAATATACAGGATTTAAATTTGATGAATAATTATGTCATCTTAGTTATAACAGTATTATTTTTCTTATTTGTAAGATAAGCCACCTATTCATGGGTACTTTCTTTTTTTTTTTAATTTTCTCTGAACTAAATCCTATAATTTATTTTAATAAAACTTCAATAATGGCAAGGATTTTTAATATACAGTATGTGGCAAATTTCCAAATTATATATATATATATCTTTTTTTTGGGGGGGGTGGTACCAGTAATTGAATTGAGGACCTTACACTTACTTGCCAGGCACATGTTATGCTGCTGGGCTGTACCCTTGGCCCATGATATTTTTTTATTTGTAGTGTCAATACACACCAAGTGATTTTTATTTATTTTATTTATTTTGGGGTTACTGGGGATAGAACTCACAACTTCATGTGTATCAGGCAGGCATTGGAGCTGCTGAACTAAACCCCTGGCTCCTAGTACTCTATCAAACAGAAAATTAATTTCAAAACTTCAACTAAAATAAAGCTGGATGTAGTGGCACATGCCTGTAATCCTAGCACTCAGGAACTAGGCAGGAGGATTCTTGCCAGTTTGAGGCCAGCCCATAGCACACAGTGAATTCAAGGCCAGCCTGAGTATGTTCTAAGACCTCATCTCAAAAAAACAAAATAAAAACCAGCTAATTTCAAGTAAGATAAAAAGCCTCAATTTCCAGCACTCGAGAGGCTGAGGCAGGAGAACTATTGCAAGTTCAAGACCAGCCTGAACTGCATAGTGGGACCCTGTCTCAAAAAGACAAAAAAAAAAAAAAAAAAAAAGCCTTAATTTGAAGATAAGGAGTAACGTACCTTATAGAAATGCAAATCTAAATATTTAAAAAATTAAGTAAAGACCAACATAAGCAAATATAACACTGGTTTTTTGTTATGAGATAGACATACATTGCTCTGTAGAATGCACCTAGTCTTGAACTGACTAAATAGCCCAGGCTGGCTTCAAACTCACAGCAATTCTCCTGCCTCAGCTTCCTCTGTGCACCACAACACACAGCTCAGTATTCTGATAAAAACAAAACAAAACAAAAAAACAAAAAACCCCCAAATCCCCCAAAACCCAACTTTGTATCCTTCAATCAAAAAGGAGGACAATAGCACCAAACATACTAGTTAGGGACACCGTGTCAAATAAGATATGCGACATTAACTTGTAAACTGTTAAAAATAATATAAATGAAAGGTATTATTATTAATGTTGTAAAAGGGTTTTATTTTTAAAGTTCATGATCAGTCCTTTTTTATTCTGAATTTTACTAAGTCCCTCAATTCCCCCACGCTAGGCTTGAATTTGCAATCCGCTTGGCTGAGCTTTCCAGAGTGCTGGGATTACAGGTGTGTGCCACTGTGCCTGGCTAAGCCAAAATTCCAAGTGTCAACAAGGAAACAAAAATCAATCCTGCAAAAGTTAAAATCATTGGTAGACAAAGACTATGTATCTTAATCTTAAACATATCAGGAATTTAAAATAAACTTCTAATGGGAATCTGTTTTCTACACTTAGGTGTATTAATTGTTTTCCATTATCATTCCAGAACTGAACCTTGTACTGAATTATCTGAAGAACGGACATGAATGTCTATTTTAACTCTTAATTTCGTTTTTCTTTTTTTGGTGACAGGGTCTCATTATGTAGTTCAGGCTGGCCTTGAACTTGCAGTGATCCTCTGGCTCAGCTTCCAGATTCTAGAATTGCTTTTGTTTAAAATCTCTGAGAACCCTTAAAAAATTGGAATGAAGTATCTTATCTGCTAGTACCTCCAATCCACGTAGCTGGGTCTGCTGGCTAATCTGATGGTTCAGTTGTTGTAATTCGAGTCTTAGCTGTTCTCTCTCTGCAGATGGAAGGGGCTTTCCATGAGTGGCCACTTCTGCCATGGATATTCTCTCCCTTTCATGAGAAAGACAGCATGAAACAAATTTAGAAGTTCTATTTTTATTTATTTATTTTGTCTTTTTCCTTTTTTTTATGGGTACTGGGGATTGAACTCACGACTGCCCGCTTACAAGGCAGGCGCTTATGCCGCTGAGCTAAATCCCCAGCCCCTAGAAGTTCTATTTTATAGAAATGTTATTCATTAGAGAAACAAGATTAGAAAAGTTGAATAATCTTAAAGATCTGTACAAATAAAGAATGACTCGCACCTCTCACTGAAGTGTCCCTGAGAAGGTATGCTTTGATGGGGTGAATATGGAGAGCCTCCCCAGCCACCATGGGCCCCGTATGGACTATAATCTGTAAGAGAATGAGTTACTGTGGTATGATGCAATTCAGGTTTGATTCTTCTTCTAAGGTACTCATCATCTGAAAGACATAGGCATATTGTATACACAGCTGTTCAGAAAAATATCTTCCAAAATAGTAGTGTGGATATTTATTCCCTGACGAATGTTCACCTTTCATATTTTTTTATAATGAGAATACATTATTTTAATAAATTAATAAGGCTATTTAAAGAAAAAAGAATAGGGAATCTTAATATATTGACATTTAATTTTAGTTTACCCCCTTAAATTACCTTTCTTACATGGATAATTCTACAGGGAAAATTACTGCCTTGAATATTACGAATATGAACCCTCATCCATCCTCTGAGTCTTACCTGAAATATTAATAGATTTTGTGGGAGCTCCCTGAGGTGCCATAGCCTGCATTGGGCCAGCACCCTGATATATCGTTTTGGATGTTCGAGAGATGGCTCCAAACCGAGATACTGTTGGTCGGTCTCCAAATGGAATAAGGTCATCATCACTAGTTTCTACTGCTCTTCTTTGAAGATCCACTCTCTGGTCTCGCATTCCTTTAGTATCCACATTCTGATAAAAAAAAGCATAGTAAGACATCTATCCCACACTTGGGTCTAGAACACAGTTTCTTCTAGCTTTGTAATAATTAATTAGCAGTATAATGTTCATACTAGCAAGACTCAACATATTAGTTACCTTTGTCATATAAAACATTTTAAAACCACCGGTGCTCATAGTAAAAAACATTTTATGGCTGAAATCTACTTATCTATCTATCTATATATATATATGTTTATCTCTACGTATATTTTACACACACATATACTGTCATACAGATCAAGGTAATATGTGTGTACATTAATGCTTGAAAAGCAATGGATTAGACTTCTTTTAATTATTTAGGAAATCTTCAAACATTTGAAAGCTTTCATTCTGTATTGATTTAGGGGAATTAGCTTTATTTTGTTAATATTTACATTATTTTAATGTAATAACTCAAAGCAAAGTACAAAGCAAGGGTTCCTGCCTCACTCCATATCCTGTGTCACTCAAATTAAAGGCTTATCTAGCTTAAAAGCAGTATTTCCTCACTCATACCAAAGAAAAATCCAAGTGAAAGGCCCTCTGGTTGGTTGGTTTGTTTTTGCAGTGCTGGGGATTAAGCCCAGAACCTCACATATTCTAAGCAAGTACGCTGCCTCAACCCGCTAAAGGACTGTTACGCTTTTCTTGCCTCTCTGTTTTTGGAGGCTGCCGTCTACTTGTATTTATACTCTAACCGTAATTTTATTCATTTGTGGTGGCATCAACAAACAAATCATTTGTATTGCCAAGAAACAATCTTCTCTTAACATATTTATCTAATAAAAGCTACATAATAATCTAAAAAACGTTTTCAAAATTAAAAAGGGCAAATGGGCTAAGGCACCTATTTTAACCTAGCAATACAATTTTTAAGTGTAACTTTTTTTTTTGTTTTTGTTTTAGTTTTTTGAGATAAGGTCTCACTAAGTAGTTCAGTCTGGCCTTGCACTTGAGCCTAACGGTTAAACAACTAAACATGGACCTCAATAATTAAATACAGGCTCTAAACAATTGCTGGGAAATAGACCTTCATAGTAATCTAATAAATGTTCTTCCATCTAGATAACTGATGTTTTATTTTTATTTTTTTGGAGACAGGTTTTGCTATGCAGTTCAGGCTAGTTTTGAATTCTATACTATGAAGCCCACTATGTAGTCCATGCTGGCCTGAAACTCATGGCAATTCTCCTGCCTTGGCCTCCGAGTGCTAGGATTATCAGCGTGCACCACCATGCCCAGCTCAGATTTTTATTTATATCTGAACAAAATTAAAAAGCCCACACAACCGCAGATTACAGTTTAAAACTCTTAAAGCTCAATTGTGCCTAAGTTACAATAGTTAAAAATTTATTTGGTTTGTCTTGATTGTATCAATTCTGCCTTAGTCATTAACACATACCATCATTTCCACACTCCCTGCTGCCACAACATCTTTGGGTTTTGCATCTTTGGTTCCAATGTAGGAGCCAATGGTGTCACATGACCAAGGAGAGTATTGGCTATAATCATTTGTTTTGTATTTTCCAGCTATCTTCAATTCATCATCCAAAAACTAAAAAAAGAAAGACACAAACTCAGACAGACAAAAATAGGAGGGTCTATGAGTTCCATGATAGAGACTACGGTGAATTTCTTAAAACAAGCTATAGCGATAAAAGGACAGTTACCTGACTCTTAAGTGTCAGGACAGATTTTTGTAGACTAAAAAACACAACTGAAGAATGATGTCTTTAGGCTTCGTATTTTGATATTAGCAGGTCAAAAAAATGCACTTCAATATTTTTCAAGCTATGACTTTCCCCCTGTACTAAGGATTGAACCTGAGGCCTTACATACGCTAGCCAATCACTTTACCACTAAGCTACATTCCCAGCTTTCAAGCTAGGATTTCAGTGGTGACTGCCCATAGTTTTGCTAGATCTGCTTCAGTAGTTTTTCCAGTAACATCCTAGGGACACAAGAATGTTATATATAATTTACAGGTTCTACTCAGTGGATGATTTGACAACTCTTTTTTTTTTTTTTTTGTACTGGGAATTGAACTCAGGACCTTCTGCTTGCCAAACAGGAACTGAGCCTCTGAGCTATATCCCCAGCCTTTGACAACTCTTTACTGAAATCTCTTTAATAGTAGTAAATCATATTTTGAATAAAATATGGTCTATATAGTGATTCAATGAGATAAAAAGGAAAGATGTCTAATTTTTAAGTTCTACAATTACCTAGTATCTAATATTTTCAAAGTGCTTTCATGTAAAATATTCCATAAGTTCAGTCCATGATAGGAAAAGTTTTGATTCCATCAAGGCTTTACCAAGAAGAGGCAGCACTACAATTAAATAATAATAATACCTATAAGGAATACATAATTTGGGCTTTATACTTCCCCCTACAGTTACAAGGTCTGTATCCTGTGTAAATTTTTGGTCTTTTGCGCTGATAAAGGGCATGCTGCTTCAATAATACTTAATACTTCCTTCAATGACAACTTGCACACACACACACACACACACACACACACACACACACACACCTCTGCTTTTTTGAGGCAAGGTCTTTTTTTTTTTTTTTTTTTTGTCTTTTTCCTTTTTTTTTTATCGGTACCAGGGATCAAACTCACGACTGCCTGCTTGCAAGGCAGGCACTTATGCCACTGAGCTAAATCCCCAGCCCCGAGGCAAGGTCTTGTTACGAACTTTAGGCTGTTCTTAAACTTACTATATACCCCAAGCTGTCTTCAAACTTGTGGCAATTCTCCTGCCTCACCCTCCCAAGTGCTGAAACTACAGGTGTGAGCAACCACGCCCAGCTTCATCTCCCATGTTTACTTCTCCTCCATTTATAAAACTTCATGTAGAACAGCTAGCTTTTAAAACACATTAGTTACTAACAAGAATGCTTCCCTGCTGGGGGTCTGGGTGTACTATACATCTACAATACCAACAGTACTCAGGAGGTTGAGACAGGTGGATTTTAAATTCAAGGTCAGCCTGGGCTACACAATGAGTTCAAGATCAGGCTAGGCTACATACTGAGACCTTGTCTCAAAAATATGTGTGCTCTTCCCATTAAATATACTGTACTGTATTAGACAGCTATTAAAATTTGGGTATGGCAGTACACATCTGTGATTCCAGCACTTGGGAGGCTGAGGCAGGAGGATTGCCATGAGTTCAAGGCGACCATGAGATAGTGAGTTTAAAGCCAGACTGAACTACATGGCACAAACCTATCTCAAAAAAAAAAAGACATAAAACCTCAGAACATATTATTCTTTATTTTTTGAGACAGGGTCTCACTATGTAGTCCAGATGTGTACTACTATACTTGGCTGGCAGGATGTATTATTAAATACTATTAGAAAATAATTTCTTAGTTCATACACAGGAAAAAAGTTGAAGTTTATATATTAAACTGACAATGGTTATTATAGAAAATGGCATTTGGATAAGTCATTCTGTCTATATTACATACTGCTAAAATCTGTGATTCCTTTTTCTGTTGTCGTTTTGCAGTACAGGGCCTTCAGACACAGAGCTCTATCCCCAACACACACACATATTATCTATCTACCTACCCACCTGTTTATTTATTTATTTGAGACAGGGTCATAGCAATCCTCCTGCCTTAGCCTCTTGAGTGCTGGGCTTACAGGTGTGTACCACCATACTTGGCTCACACTATTTGGAGACAGGATCTTGCACAGGTTAAGCTCAAATCTATGAACCTTTTGCCTCAGCCTCCCAGAGTGACATGTGCCACCATTCCTGGCTAAAATGAATAAATCTGATATAACTACATGTTGACTGTTTATAATCAGAACTGAGGTTTAAGTATATATAGCACTATATGACAGTAAAACAAGTCTGTATGTAACAAGTTCCTCGTCAGGTGTAGTGGTAGATGCCTATAATCTCAGTACTCTGGAAGCCAAAACAGGAAACTCCCAAGTTAGAGCCCTGTCTGAGCAACTGAGCATGACACTGTCTCAAAACAAAAATCAAAAGGCTGGGGATATAGCTCAGTCTGATGGTTCTAGGTTCAATGTCCAGTACCACTAAGTGTATCAATACACAAATAAATGCTTATATTTCTAACGTTTTTAGGTGAGAAAGCTAAATACTATAGACAACTTCTATTTAGTACCTTATCTTCATGCATTCAAAATGTTACTGATGCCTATGTATAATGAAATTCAATTTTCATTGTTTATTGTGTATAGTTTGTCAGTTAACAATGTTCTTTAGAAACATAATTCCAAATGGAAAGGGTGTAAAATATGTTTCCTTACAATAATATCAATTGTAAATCTGCTCAGAAAACTTATTTGGTTCCTAAAAAGGATGTACACTACAAGCTGAGGCAGTATACAACAAATCAAAAGAAACATTAAGAAAAAAGAAAAAAGCTGGCATTTTAAGAGACAAAATTGGTAACATTCTAACAAGACTGACCATTCATAGTAACTATTAGCACTCTTGTAGAAATACAAAGAAGATAATATCTGAAATAACTGTTTATTGTGGGGCTGCCTTGCTCAGCGGCATAAGCACCTGCCTTGTAAGCAGGTGGTCGGTCGCGAGTTCGATCCCTGGTACCAATTAAAAAAAAAAAAAAAAAAAAAAGGTAAAAAAAAAAGTAATTATTTATTGCTCTGTGGTTCAGTAGTCAGTTTCATGTTTTTCAAAGCAACTCTATTTCAGGTTTTTTTGTTGTTGTTGTTTTGGTTTTGCTTTTCACTTTTACTATCTGTATTTGCCTGTTTTTTCCTGACCACACTAGTTTCCTCATTACTGAATTAAATAAATCTTTAATGTGTCACTTACACTGGTGTACAAGAAGGCTAAAAAAAAAAAAAAAAAAAAAGACAAAGACTGAAAAAGGAAAAATAATGTGATTATCCACATTAGATATTATTGTGTACTAAGAAAACCCAAAATAATTCACTAGCAAATACTATAATTAATAAGGAAAGCCTGTTTAATAGAACGATTGAAATTCGGTTAGTTTCTCTATGTTAGTACCAGAAAATGAAATTTTAAAAATGGTTCAATTTAACAGGCCTAGATGTGGCTCAGTGATTACAGCCTTTGCTACATAAAAGTAAAGCCTAGGGTTTGGTTCCCAAAATCAAAAATCAACCAACAAACAAGGATTCCTTTAAAATTAGTTTCAAAAAAACCATCAGTTATCCATATAAATGGAAGAGTATATTATGTTCATGGAGACTTGAAAGTAGAAAAAATATCACTTACACTGACCCAAAGCAACACTGTTCAACAGAAATATAATGTAACCTATACATGTAATCTTAAAAAATTTCTAGTAGCCATATTAAAAAGAAGACTGGGCATGGTGGTACATATCTGTAATCCCAGCACTCTGGAGGCTCACCCAGGAAGACTTGTGAGTGAGAGGCCAGCCTGAGTTAACACAGTGAGTTCATGGCCAGCACAGTGAAACCCTGACACAAAAAAGAGACTAAAAGGAAAAAAAAAAAAAAAAAGCGAACTTTTTATTTTTTTGAGATAGGGTCTTACTATAAGTCAGGCTGGCCTCAAATTCATGGTGAATCTCCTGGCTTAGCCTTCCAAGTGCTAGGATTAGAGGCGTGTGCCACCAACCCAGGTGAATTTAATGACACATTTCATTTCACAAAATATAGCCATGATATTAAAATATTAATGAGATATTCTACTTTTTAATCAAGATTTCAAATCTTCAATCCCTGAATATATTTTACACACATCTGAATTTGGGCAGGAAACTTCTCTGGAAAGCAACATACTGACTCCTGAAGCATAGTACCGGAAAACATATACTGCCAATATACCCAAGACTTATAAAAATAAAAAAACTACATTAAGAGAATATGGTGTAAGAATATAAATAGATGGATAAAATAGAATAAAGCCTAGCAGGCAAAGGATGCTCATTAAATAGTGCAGTCAATGAGATATCCTTACTAGGGAAAAATAAATTGATATGGGGCGAGTGACGAGCTCAGTGGTAAAGCATTTGCCCAGTATGTGCAAGGCCCTGGGTCCAGAAGCCAGCACTGAAGAAGGAAAAAAAGAAAATAAATACAAAAACCCAGAAAAAATGGTTTTAAATCCCAATGCATTCTATATAAAATTCAATTTTAAGTGAATTATAAAATAAAATAATCTTTTAGGAAAAAAAACAAATTTCTTTGTAACCTTGGGAATAGATAAAAAATTAATTTGACAGGACACGCAGACACACAACTATTAAAAAGGAAAACTGGTAATTCTAAGTATGTGCTTACTTCCTCTTGATGGAATGCAGGTGGTAATGTTGGTGAAGGTGCAAAAGGAGGTGGAGAGATAACCTTTCTTTCCTCTAACTGGGCCATTATTTCCTTTCGTCTGCGATGCAGTTCATCTAGACTAGGGTGGGGCTGTGGAGGAGGAAGCCGGCCATAAGAAGGCTCCTGAAAATACATCAGTTAAATTAACAAAGAATTTCAGAACACATTAATTAAACTACCATGTATTTTTTGTATGTCTTTTAAATTGGAACCAATTTGCAAATAGGAAGACTTAAAAGAACAAAGAAAACAAAACAAAACCAACCCAAACTCTCAAGATCTCATAAAGAGCTAAATTTAGATTTCTTAGTGTACACCTATAATCCAGTACTCAGGAGGCTGAGGCAGGAGGATCACCATGAGTTACCCAAGCTGGGTAACATAGTGAGTTCAGGGCCAGCCTGAACTACAAAGTGAGACCCTATCTTCAAAAAAAAAAAAAAAAAAAAAAAAAGTGAATTAAAAATTAAAAATTTGAGTTTTTTTCCTTAGGGACCAAAAATTTCTATTAGATCTAGAATTATTACTACAATCATCGAAAGTTCACAAACTAAGAATGGTTAGTTAGAAGGTGGTCCAATGGATAGTTTTTAAAAAATAACCTCAAATTATGAAAAGACTGAAAAAGAAAATTAAAGAAAAAAGTTGATTAAAGGGTCATCGTCATGGGGAAAAAGAAAAAGGAATCACTGTAATCAATCATCAAATTAGTACATATGAGAAAAAAGATAGCATACTCTGGGGTATGAAGGTCTGATCTGAGCTGGATGAGGAGCCACTGGATAGTAACCTTCCACTTGTTGGTATCTTTCTCTGGATTCTGGTACATATGATGGTACTGCTGCAGGTGGAATCTCAATGGGTATAGGACTTTCTCTGAAGATCTCTTCTCTTGCTGTGTAAGACTGAGCAGGGTATACTCGACGGCCATCATAGTGAGGTGGGTACATAGCTGGATACTGTTGCGGCTGGGTGCCATACTGAGTGTTTACGACACGATCTTGGAGGTAGGGTGAATAATGATCCAAGTATTGAGGACCAGCTTCAGGAGCAGATGGTGGAGGTCGGACAAAGCGGGACACACACTGTGGTGGTGGAGTATAGTACATCCCTGTATAATTCAAAAGAGGAACCAAAAGCAGCAAGGAGTCAGTTTTTCTTTTTCTCTTGTCTTTTTGAGACAGGGTCTCACTGTGCAGTTCAGGCTGGCCTTGGACTCACAGCAATCCCTCTGCCTCAGCCTTCTGAGTGCTGGGATTATAGGAATGTGCCACCATGCCAGGCTAGTCAGTTTTCCTATATAAAAATTTTTTTGTTTTAAAGTATGGGAAACACTGAAGTATTAATCACATACTTATTTCTTCAGAAGTTTTCTCTCTGGCTATATAATAAAGTCAGGTCAGTTTTATGAGAAACAAGAAGCAAAAATTCTCCTCAGGGCTGGGGGTGTAGTTCAATGCTTGTGTAGTCTGCATGAGGCACTGGGTTTGATCCCAACTATGTGCACATACCATTAATAAAGATAAAGAATCCAGTCAATTGGGCTGGGGATTTAGCTCAGTGGCATAAACACCTGCCTTGTAAGTGCTTGGTTTTGAGTTTGAAAAATGAAAAAAAAAAAAAAAAAAAAGAATCTAATCAATTTATAATCTACGATAGTAGACTGCTCTTGCTGTCTGTCTTTTTCTAGTATGCCTTAATGAACGCAGACGTGAGAAAACAAAAACTTTCATTTTGCAGATATCCCTCAAGTTTAGGTTCTACTGGACTTTATTTTTTCATTTTGAGAATTTGCTATGTAGCCCAGGATGGCCTCAGATTTGCAGCAACTGTCCGGCCTCAGCCTCTTAAGTGCTGGGATTACAGGAATCTGTTGGAGTTTTAAATGTGAAACTAATTAACTAGTAAGAGATGTGATACACAAAACATTCATTTTGTGCAGACCCAGTAGAGGTTTTCTGAGACAAGATCTCAATATGTAATTCAGGCTGCTTGAACTTGCAGCAATCCTACTTTAGTCTCTCAAATGCTGTGACTATAGGCGTGCACCACTAGGATGCTCAGCTTGGCTCTAGTTTCTTTCCGGTGACTTATCTGAAGCCTGCTTCTCTAATATTTCCACCAATATTATAAGTACTTAACTCTTGTACTAAACCTCTTTTTAGGGGCTGGGGATTTAGCTCAGTAGCCTAAGTGCCTGCCTTGCAAGCAGACGGTCGTGAATTCGATCCCCGGTACCGATAAACAAAACAACAACAACAACAAAAACCAAAAATCTCTTTTTACTTAATAGTTAAAATTATTTTTGCTATCTACAATTGAACCTTAACTGATACACAGTCTATTTAAAGTTACATGTTGGTCACTTCAACAAAAGTACTTGCATTTTCCTGTAATGAATAATAATCATGTATTAGTAACGCTGTATCAATTAAAATCCATTCTTTTTGAATGTAGAGATGATTTTATTTAAAATTAAAAGACATCCTTGATTAAATAAAAAAGGACACTTTTGATCTATTACCATTTAAAAAATAATAGCATTAAGCTTGGTATGGTGGTACATGCCCATAATTCCAGCACTTTGGGAGGCTGAAACAAAAGAACTGTAAATTCCAGCTCAGTTTGGGACACTGAGCAAGATCCTGTCTTAAAAAAATCTGTGCAGATGAAGCTCAATGTGTAGGCTCTGAATTCAATCCCCAGTACTGAAAAAGAGAAAATGTATTATACCTTATGCTTCTTCACACAGGTACAACACTTTAGTGAAGTTAAATGTGAAAACTTAGTTATTTCTTTTTCTTCTTATTTTGTACTATCATTAAATCTTAGAAAAATCTAATTTGGGGAGACAGTCTTTTTAAGACAGGGTCTTATGAAGTCTTTTTAAGTTCAGGCTGGCCTTGAGCTCACTTTGTAGCCCAGGTTGATCTCAAAATTGCAACAATCCTCCCGCCTCAGTCTCCCAAGTGCTGGGATTACAGAGTGCACTACCATACCTGATTCTAATTTCTAAATCTCCCTCCAATCTTTTTTTTGGAAACTGGGTCTCACTATGTAGTTCAGAGTAGCCTTGAACTCACAGTGATCCTTCTGCCTCAGTCTCTTGAATGCTGGAATTATAGGCGTGCACCACTACAACCAGCTTCTTTACTGTTGTTAATTCTATATGCTATATTCCCTAATAGTAGATTTGCTTCATTTTTCATACATATTATAAGATCTAGAAAAATCCTGATGATTAAAAGAAAAATATACTATGTGCACTTTATATTACTATAATGCTAATTTTTTCATTGTGTTGAAAAATGTTCAGAATTATTCCCCCCTTACCAGCAGATTTTCATTGTCTATTTCAGTGAATTATTACTTCCATAAATAACATAAACACTTTTTTTTAAAGATTTGCCTTCAGTATATAAAAGCAGTTTTGTGCAATTGATCACAAAGAAAAAAACCCATGTTTTTTCAAGTATTAAAAATGCAGTTGAGGGAGCTGGGGATTTAGCTCAGTGGCATAAGCGCCTGCCTTATAAGCAGGCAGTCGTGAGTTCGATCCCTGGTACTGATAAAAAGCAAAAAGACAAAAAAAAAAAAAAAAAATGCAGTTGAGCATGGTGGCACATTCCTGTAATCTCAGCACTCAGAAGGGCGAAGCAGGAGGATCACCTCAAGTTTGAGGCCAGCCTTGGTTACACAGTTCAAACTGCCTGAACTTAGTGAGGCCCTGTCTCAAAAAAACAAAACAAAGGAAAAAAATGCACTTATTTTAATAAGGCTACTATGTAAAACAATCACTCTTATTTGGGAACTTCTTATACCGGTAAATACCAGAAAAGCAAGTGACATAATGTAAGATCATTACCCTGCTGATAAGGTGCTGGTTCAAATGGTGGGGCAGCTCCTCGAGGATCCTGATAATAAACGTCAGCTTGCTGTGGTGGATATAACTGAGAACCTCGTGGTACCATCTGAAGTGGTTTGGTGACAGGCATGGGGGGCAGTTCTGGTGGCCCCCTTTGAGGTACAGAATGTGGAGTCACAGGTAAGGCAGAAATACTTTTAGGGACAGATTCTAGCCTAAGAAAGTAAGATTATACAATTCAAGTTTAGTGTCTCTAAAATACTTCCAATGTACATAAATTGTTACAGGTAAAAAAGACTGGCTCGGTTTGAGAAACTGGCTTATTCTAATAGTCATCATCTCTAAAAAGCATATATATATATTTTGATCTTTTAAAATCTGTGCTTATTGTATCTTTTTTTTAAAAAATCACTAGTACAGGAAACAGAAGTTAAGACAAAAAAAATTTTTTTTCTCCCAAAACAAAACAATTATTTCCCCTTCCTTCTACTTCTGTGTATAAAGAAGAACCCTTAAGACACAAAAAATGACGTACAGGTCAGGAGGGGATCCGGGAGCACTACTGCTCAGATGATCTATCTTTCCTGGTTTCAGACTGGAATCAAAGCTGGGGTCTGTCCCTCGTGGGATGAGCTGTGTTACTGTGTTCCCCGCTGACACAATTCCATTGGGCAGCGCAGAGGCTTTCCTGCTAGGCAGATCCACCACACCTTCATCTGGAAGGATTGCGGCTGAAGGCAGGCCCACCTCATTAAGCTGACCCAAAGAGGCACTCAGGGGTCTTCTGGGAACCAGACGCTTGTTCATTTTACGAAATCTATACAAAAAGATAACGCATACATAAAGAAAAAAAAAAAAAGGATAACCAAGAACTAAAATGTATTTAAAATTCTCTACATAAAATTTCTCCTACTAAATATGCATTAATATTTATACCATTACCAATCATGTCAACATTTTTAATATTTATTGAAATTTCTATTTCTGAAAATTACTGAGGTAGGGTAGACAGTTTGAAATATTTACTTTAGCTTTTCGTCAAATGTATACTTTAGATATAGTGAACCTATGTAAGGAATAGAAGCTAAGAATCTGATTTAGTGAAAGAGTACTTGCCTAGCATGTCTGAAGCCCTAGGCTCAATCCTCAGCATCAGAAAATAAAACACAAATCAAAAGAAACAAAACAAACAAAAAATAGGAATATATATCTCATTGTTACCCTCTGATTGACATGTTATGAAATTTTGTTGCAGTTTTTTCTTCTTTTTAAAATTTTTATCCTCGAAATAAAGTGGATTTGGAAAAAAAGAAAAAATTTAAAACAATAATCAAAGAATCTGGAAAAAAATAAGGACTAGGGAACCCAGCAAAAACAAGCCTCTAACACAGACAAAAGAAAAAGCCAATGTACAGTGAAAATTTTGTTTACTACATTAAAACATTTACATAATTAAGAATACTGACTTTCATGAGAATTGCTTCACAAATGTTGATGTATAATGAGTGTTCACATAAAACTGAAGTTATTTTAAAAGTCAAGGGAAACAATACCATAGAACAATGGCCTAAATTTATATGGTTGCTATACTTTAAAAAAATTACACAGATTCTAACAAAAGCAGAAAAACAAAGCTGCCAGACTCCTGCATTCTTGTCTCTCAACAATGAAAGCAAGTTGCTGGTATGTATTCAAGAACGTCAAAACTATATGCCACTACAATATCACTGTTATTTTTCTATGTTTTTCAAATCTGAGAAATTTAGGAGGGTACCTTTCAGGGTTAACCATCATTGAGAATCACACAGATTTTTTTGTTCTAGACACTATGTTTAATATTCATATTCATATGCATGTTAAGACTATTAAAGAAATAGGGTCATATATCACATAGTGATTTTTTCCCTCCATTTAATCTTCAACATTCCTTTATGTTAGTTCATCTTAGGCTTCTTTTTTTCCCTGCTATTAAAATACAGTTAAATTCTGTAACTGATAATTATATATATATATGCTTGCACCCTTGTGTGAATAACCAGAAACAGTATACACACAGGTCAGTGGTGTGCATATTACACATTATTTTAATGCTATACTATTCTCTAAAACTATTAATAACTTCTATTGGTAATATAGGAAAATACTTTTTAATAACTGATGAAATACTGGGTAGTGTCAGTCATTGTTAATTAGATAGTTTAAAAATAGTATTTAATTTACATTTCTTTAATGAGAGACTGAATATATTACATGTGTAGTGGGCATGACTTTTGTGAACTGTCTATTTATTAAGGTTTAGTTATGGGTTGAATGTGCTCCCCCAAACGTTTGAGTGCCAAAAGCTCGGTCCCCAGTGTGGCAATGCTGAAAGGTAGCAGAACCTTTAGGAGGCAGTAGCTAGTGTAAGGTAATTTGGTTATTGCTCATGGAAGGTGTTCATTCTGGAGCTGCAGAATGAATCAGTCTGTGCAAGAACAATCACCACACCACACCACAGCTTGGCCCTTTCTGCTTTCACATCATGTCGTGACACACACAACAGAGAATCTGCCCTGTACTGTTTGGACTCTGCAGAATTATTTTGCCAAATAACCCTCTTTACCAGTTACTCAGCCAAAGGTATTTTGTTAAAGCAACACAGGATTAGAACACAATCCAGTGATTCATGCTTTATCTTCCTTATAGATCTTTAGAAGCTCATCCTGTATCAGGTATAGATCTTCCCCACTCTGGTCAGTCAGTCTGTCTGTCTATCTCCCTGTTTTTTGAGACACAGACTTGCTATGTAACCTAGGCTGGCCTTAATCTCACTGCAATCCTCCTGCTTCAGCTTTCCAAGCACTGGGATTACAGGTATGTGCCACCATGTCTGGCTTCTCTTTAATTTAACTGTAGTTTACTTTAATCTATGTAATCACATTTATCAATCCTTTCTGTTATGGATATAGGACTGTCACTTATAAAGAATTCTTTCCTTCTTTAAAACGTAACAACAAAAACACCTCTAAGTACCCTGATTTCCTTCCTACATATTGAAATTTCTGATTACTTCATATATATATATATATATATATATATATATATACACACAAAAATTCATTCTGTTGTAAAGGTTGGGGTAAAATTTTTCAAATGTATAGGAGTTACTTCCCTATTAAAACAGGGAAGTTAAAATGTTACCTTGAGTACATGTACTTGAGTTCATATGCTTTTCACTCTAATTCCTGTGAAATACCAGTCTTTATATTCACTTCAGCATAGGACACAAGGTTAACAGTTATTGGTCTCTGTTAAGACTGAATAAAGATATTTACTAACATGTAGAAAAATACCTATGACATTTTAATACATTAAGGGATTCTGATTGAGCCTGGAGTTTATTCAAGCTTAGTGTGGTGGTGCATGGCTGTAATCACAGCACTCTGGGGGGCCAAAGTAAAAGAAACCCTAGTTCAAACACATTTAGTAAAATGTGTGTCAAAAGAAAAACTAGTTTAAAAAGGGCTGCAGATGTAGTTTAATGTGAAAGCTTCAGGTTCAATTCGTAGTACCACAAAAACAAAACATGAAATGAAATGAAACAAACAACTAATTTAGATTTAACTCACCAGAAACAGCTTCCTAACTCTAGTAGCTACAACACAGCCAAAGCTGAAAAACTGCTTTTCAAGAAAAATTATGTTTTCAGTTTTCTAAGGATTTCCTACTCATTTCTGTACTTCTCAAAATCAGCAAACTATATTATTCTAAAAGCCAAGTCTCATGACTTTTACACTTACTTTTCCAGTTCCTCCTGTGAGTGTGCAAATGTACAGCTGGCTCCGCGAGGGCATCCTCCCCTCTGCTTCATATCTCGACACATGTATGTTTTATATTTGCTATGCTGTGGAGGCTACAACCAAAATCAAAACATTAGACATAAAACAAAAGCCATCAAAACAAAATAAACATGAACTTTCCATTGTCAGTTTAGAGTCCTGATAATCTACATGCATAATTTAGACTAAATCTCATGTTTGTTTTTTATTAAATCCTTTTTTGTTTGTTTTTGTCAGGATCGAACTCACGACCACTTACTTACAAGGCAGGTGCTTATGGTGCTGAGCTAATCCCCAGTCCCATGTTTATCTAAACTAAAAGAGCAATGCCAAGTGTGTTGGTACACACCTATAGTCCCAGCACTCAGGAGGCCAGCACTCAGGAAGATAGCCATGAGTTCAAGGCCAGACTGAATTGTATAGTGAGCCTGTGTCAAAAAACACCAAAACCAAAACCAAACCAAACCACAAAACTTCTCTCCCACCTAAAACAAACAATCCCCCAAAAAAACTCATGGAAAAGTCATTGTGTTGGAAATCTCAGAGTTTTATTTTACAAATAAATTAAACTGGATTTTTTTGTCCTATTGATATTCTTATTTGAAACAGGATCTTGCTATTTAGCCCAGGCTGGCCTTGAACTCACAGTGATCTCTTGCTTCAACCTCCAACCAAAAATGTTTAAGACTTTCAAGAAAGTAAACTTTTCTAATATCTTTTGTGCAATGTTTATTGAAGTTATACACGTATAATTATTCCCTATTATACATCAAAAAATGTACTACAAGCCCTGTAATCAATTTCCTTTCAGTACTAGGACTGGAACACATACCCTCACAAATGCTAGGCAAATGCTCTACCACTGAACTATATTCTCAGCTTCTACTTCTCCCTTTTTAAAAATTATGAAATAGAGTCTAAATTGCCAGAGAGCCTCAAACTTGTGATCTCTGCACCCGTTTTCTGTAAAAAAAACTCACAAGCTTGTGCTTGCCAGCCAGGCGCTGTGTTGCTGAGCTGTATCCCTGACCTGACCTGTTATTAATTATAGGTAAACTATAGAATTTTAAATCATTAGCATAAAGTTACTGGCAATAAAAATAGAAACTCTGGCTATAATGTATTATAATTTACTGTCACACATTTCACTTCTAAAAATTTAAAGGCAGGCATGATAGTATATTAGTTAATGTCTAAAATTCCAGCATTCTTGGAGGCCGAGGCAGGAGGAATGCAAGTCTGAGTCCAGCATGGTAAAGTCAGCAAGACCCTGTCTCAAAATTAAAAAATAAATAGGGCTGAGAATGTAGCTCAGTGTGAAGACCTTGGATTGTTCCCTATAATACATTTAAAAAAAAAAAGGAAAGGAAAATTTGGGCCATTGGAGTAAGAGGCACTGTAAACAAGAACACTTAAAATACTAATACAAAAAAATCTACAAATGTGTGAGCAGTTTTTGTGAGATAATACATTGTTAATAAAAAATGACTTTTGAGACAGGGGCTCACTATGTAGTATAGGCTGGTCTTGAACTCACTATGTAGCTCAGGCTGACCTCAAACTTGTATCAATCAATCTTAGCTTCCTGATCGCTGGTATTACAAGTACGCACCATCACACTCAGTTAAAAAGTGACACCTTTTATCAAAATGAAATATAACACAAAGTGAGGAGAAGAAAATCTACTTTCTCCCTCAAATGTTACCATATCCGGGGCTGGGGATTTAGCTCAGCGGCATAAGCGCCTGCCTTGCAAGCAGGCAGCCGTGAGTTCGATCCCTGGTACCAATAAAAACGAAAAAGACCAAAAAAAAAAAAAAAAAAAAAAAAAAGTTACCATATCCAAAGTGACCTCAGCACATTACATCCAAATGAGTTATTTCAATGTTGTCAGATAAAATTACTAGGCTAAACCATTAAATTAGCTGGTAACCATTAAATTAGCTGCCAATTTAGTCAGAGTCAAAATATTCATATGACTTTTTTGGCTCTGTATCTGGAGGTATACTCACCAATGGCCTATCTGTAATTTTAAGTTTACAACTAAAGCAGCTTACCTGTGAATTTCAAACTGCTCACTCACCTGCTGTTGATCTGCTCCTTTTTTGCTGTGGTTCTGAATGTAATCAACTAGCCCATGTACCACTGTACGCACAGCAACCAGCCCATTTTCTAGCTGTTCCCATGTAGTAGGAGGAGCATCTATGCAATAAATTTTAAAAAAACTGTAATGTAATGCAGTATTTTGTTCAATATTAAATTAATAAAGGACTTAATGTCAGCACTTCAGTGAAATCAAGTTAAGCCTCATATAGCTTTTTATATATTACACATATTCACCAAACATCGTCTTAAAGGCATAAACATTAGTCTTTTAAAGTTGAGGATACAAAATAAAACAAAAAAAGGGAAAAGGAAGGTAACAAAGGACAGACAATACCAACAAATGTCAGCAGACCCATAGTATTGAAGTCATTAGTACTGAAGAGTAACAGGGAATCTATTGATCCAAGGGTATATTCATCATCTTAAGATTATGATTATCTTAGCTTTAGCTGGTTGTTAAGTGAAAATGCAAGGCTGGTCCTACCATACACATTACTGTTTCCCAGGGACACCCTAAATTTGAGCATTTGAAGTAATGCTCATCAGACTTCTGTTTTTTCTGCAATGTGAAGAACTGAACCCAGGGCTCTGTGTATGCCAGGCAAACACTATACCATTGAGCTATGCTCCCAATCAAAATTTAAGATTTTAAGTGCTGGCACCTTAAAATTTTTGAATAAGATGCAAACCAACACTGAATACCACAGAAAACTTTTACTATTGGCTACAAATTTGTATGTTTATTTTGAAGTTTTATGTAAGTCAGATAGGTAGTAAATGAAGTACTACATAAAATTTTAACAGATGAGTTATCATATAAAGCAATTCTGCTACATGTCTTCTTCATTTAATATTTGCTCAGTGCCAGAACTGTGATTTTATTATGAAAAACTGAACCACAAGACTGAATATAAAGTATTCTTTAAAATACATATAAAATCAAGTGAGAAGACATTTTCAGTGATGACTTTTCAGTGACGGCATGTGAACTGGGCTAAGAAGTACATATGAAATTTCTTCTGGGGGAAAAAATGGGGATAGTCAGAGGTAGTGAGAAACATTCAAAAGTTAAGTTTTTGGACAGCTACTACTTTAGAGAGATTGCTCTAGCTGCTAGAGAAGTGACAGTGATAAAAACATAGAACTGTGTCATATTCAAGGAGAGTATCTTCACATTGCAGAAAAAAAGACAATAATCAAAATATAGCGTAGCTAATGATGAATTAAAAACATAAAGCAAAGACAGGTAACAAATATGTATAAAATTTTAGATAGAGAAGATATTAGGGGAAAACTTACAAAACAGGGGAGACAGGCATAAATAGAAAAGAGGGATAGCACAGCAAACACTTGTCTCAAAAGGGTAGCAGGTTTAAAATCTGGAAACACTTCAAGGCCAGAAGCAATGAAGACAAGAAGTCAGCAGAGGACTTTGAGAAGTCTAATAATATAAAAAGGAAGTTGGAAGAATGTGATCACTTATAAGCCAAGAGAAAAGCTTTTTAAGGAAGACAGAGTAAATAGTAATGTTATAAATGCTGCTAATACGTTAAACACAAGAACTTAGAAGTGACCTTTGAAACTGGCTAAATACAACTCACTTGAAGCCAACTGTGGTGATACATGCTTATAATACTGTCACTCTAGGAAGCTGTGATAGAAGAATTACAAGTTTGAGCTCAGCCTGCGCAACTTCACAAAACCGTATTTCAAGATAAAAAAAGCTAAAAGGCCTGGAATATAGCTCAGTGGCACAGCCCTGCCTGCCAAGTGCAAGGTCCTGCATTTGATTCCCAGTACCAAGAAAAAAGGTGGGGAGGAAGGCTGAGGATGTGATTCAGTGCATAGGCCTGGAGTTGAATCCTTAAGACTGGGAAAAAATGTATTCTAGGAATAAATTTAGTATGATTTAGTATGATGAAGCAATCTTTGGAGCAAACTTACAAAATAGGTTGCTTTAAAAAAATGAAGAGAACTGAGGGCCGGGGATTTAGCTCAGCGGCATAAGAATCTGCCTTGAAAGCAGGCGGTCGTGAGTTCGATCCCTGGTACTGATAAAAAGGGGGAAAAAACAAAAAGAAGAGAACTGGGCATAGTGGTGTATACATATAATCTTAGCTACTTAGGAGGTAGAGAACGGAGGATTACCAGTTTGAGGCCAGCGTTGGCAACTTAGTGGGACCCATCTTAACATAATAAATAAAAAGAGCTGGGGATATAGTTTAGTGTTACTTTTAGGGTTCAATCCTTAGTACCATAAAACTAACACACAAAACCCCACAAGCTGGATGTGGTGGTGCACTCTTACAATGTGAGTACTTGGGGGCTGATGCAGAAGGATTGCCAGCCTCAGCTACACAGTAAGCTCCAGGCCAGTGTAAACTACATAGCACAATCTTGTCTCAAAAACAAACAAACAGATAAACAAATCAAAAAAAGAAAGAAGGAAAAAACACAACAAAAAGTAAAATGAAACAAAAATCAAATAAGTCACAAAGAATCTTGACTGCTACAGTCATGCATCCCAAGCCTTATAAATAATGGGGTAGCCCTGAAAGTTTATGAGCGTGGAATTAAGATCGAGGATGCAACTGACTGTGCAGCAATGAGCAGACTAGAGAACAGCAGAGGACACTGGAAGATTTTCAGTCTCAGGGAAAATGAATGAGACTGTCAACATAAGCAGCAAGAAAAGACACAGGACAATTAATTAAGGAACAGATAAATCCAGTTTTCGGAAATGGTACATAGAGCAAGTGAAAGAAAAGAGATGAGGCAAGACAGACGGCGGACATTTTAAGCTTACATTCCTCAAAGAATGAGGTTGATAATATGAAACACACGGGAAAGAGCAAGTATGGAATGAAGAGGAACTCACTTTAAAAAGAACAGGACAGAAAATGAAGACCCTCAGCAAGCCTTTGGGAAAGAGACCAGAATGGTGCTGCAGAGATAAGAGTCACAGAGCTACCTAACAGTCTCTTCTAGGAAGGGTTAATCTGATGCTAAAAATAACAAACAACAAAGAATACAGAGGAAACAAAGTTCCAGGAGCATAATCTTATTAACATTCACTTCTTTCTTGCAAGCTATACCTTTGTGGGTAAATGCAGCAGCACTCTAGTCAGAAAATATGAGACTATAGAAAGATAAGGTGTCAGAAGAGTCTATATTAAGGAAGTAGTCAACAACTATTGAAAGTTGAAGATAAATGAAGTAATTTAAGAATTGAGAAGAAGGACGAGGAGGAGGAATTAAGACACTAGGAAACTACTAGGGAATATGAGGAGAGTTTCAGTTCAGTAGTGGGAATAAACACTAAAATAGGACATGTCAGATGTATCAGGAAAAAATGAAACTTGAATACAATTTCAGGTCAAAGAGAAGGAACAGGAAAGGACTGACAAAATAGAGATAAGCAAGAAACCAGGTATCATGGAAAAGATAAAAATGGGATCAAGGAAACACAACTAAGCATATATAATAATAAAAATGAGAAAAACATGAATTCTAGCAAAGTAAGAAAATATTGAAGAATACTGGGATGGGAGAAAGAAAAAACCAGAAAGGGCCCAAAGATATCTATTTTTCTCTTGAGTAGTACAGTAAAAGTTAAGTATTAGTTGATGTGAACTTACATGAGATAAAAAGGGACAAGACTTGAGACAAAACTAAAATACTACACAAAAAGAACTTAAAAACCTCTAGAAAAATGTAACAGAAGACAACTGCAGAAACACTGCAGCACCAAGGGCACACAGAATCCATTGTTTTCCACTGCGTTTACCTGGACTAGGGTCAATATTTGCTAACAGCTCCAAATGGGGTCTTAGACGGTTCAAGTTTGCTGGGTCTCCAGTTCTCTGGAGAGCAATTGTTAGTTCCTGAACGCTCTGTAGAAAAGAGGCTGGGGTCTGCAACTTAAAAAAAGATAAATATTAACTTTTCCAAAGACCAGATAATCCTCAAAGAAAGAAAAATCTTTTTCACAATTTTTATTACATTTAATTTTTATTCACCAACATATCCTATGCTTTGACCAGACTAAATTACTTGTTACCTGAATAAATTCTGCCTTTCTCTACACTCACACACTGGTACATGGAGATATAATTTAGAGACAAAAGCAAAAACAAGGATGCTGAGTTCAGTCAAAATGGATCTGAGTCCAAATTCTGTTGATAAAAAACTATGACACTAAATATAAATCTCATCAACCTGAAGTCCATCTGATAAGTAGGCTAAACAATTTTAAAAGTCTACCACAGCTCGAAAAAAGTCCTGTATTAGCTTGAGATTGTTTTGTTTTTGTTTTTCTCAGAAAGGGTCGTGGTATGTAGTTCAGGCTAGCTTGAACATACAGTGATCCTCCAGCATTGTCTCCTGAGTGCTGGGATTATAGGTGTGCCTCACCAGCCCAGCTAGTCTGAGATTCTTGGAAGTTCTCACATTGTATCATTTCCCTAAGCCTTAAGAAGACACACTGTCACATTAAATCCCTTCAACTGGCCTTGACCTTTAACTGGAAAAAACACTGATTTTATGACAGTAAATAAGGGTTGCTATTTAAAAACATTTAGCTCATTGTTTCTTGGCCTTTTGGCTAAGATCAAGTATAAAAACATTTAGCTCTTAAAGCAGATGAGTATCTTCCTTCTCCCACATTGTCACTTTATAAAGTTATTTTTTAAAAAATAGTATACATTTAAATACACATGGAAAATACCAATAAGACTTTCAGCATGTACATGTCTGTCTATTTGTTTCTTTCATTCAAGGCAGGGTCTTACTATGTAGTTGAGGCTGTCCTTGAACTCACTATGTAGTCCAGGCAGGCTTCAAACTCTCAGTGATCCTTCTGCCTTGGTCTCCCAAGTGCTGGGACTATAGTGTACCAATACACCCATCCAGCCTTTGTTTAATATATTTATTCTAATTTTAAAATAAACATAGCGGGGCTGGGGATTTAGCTCAGCAGTCATAAGCACTTGCCTTGCAAGCAGCCGGTTGTGAGTTCGATCCCCAGTACCGATAAAAAGTTAAAAAAAAAATAAACATAGCCACTAATGTACTTAAGTGTTTTGGTTTCTTTAATACTGTAGCAAGTTTTGTATTTTTAAATACCTTTACTATAAAATATTTCAAATAAAAGTATCTAATATATACCCACTACTAAGACTTAATAAATAATAAAATCTTACTATCCCTTTTTAAAAAAGGAGAAAGAAATATACATATTTTAATTTTTGCAGCGCTGGTTATCATCAAATCCTGGACCCTGCCCATCCTTGGCAAGTCGTTTCCACTGAGCTGAGGGACCCCTAGTTCCTTTACAGTAATTTTTTAGTACAAAATGTCATGTACTAACTGACAATGATATCTCTATTTTCTTTTTTTAAAGACAGGGTCTTGCTGTGATTCTCTTGCCTCAGCCTCCTAAATGCTGAGATTACGGTACACACCACCATTCCCAGCTGAAGGAGTCCTATTTTGGAAATAGGAGCAAAATAGCATGGTAAGAAATTTTTTTTGTACTCGGAATTGAACTCAGGACTTTGCGCTTCCAGGCAGATGCTGTGCTGCTGAGTTATATGCCCGGTCCAATAAGAAATTCAATGGTTAAGAACATATTCTACAGTCAGCATACCAGAGATTCAAATCTACCTCTGTCACTTAATACTGAAGTGATTTGAAAAAATGAATTTAATATCTCATCTCTGAGTCAAAAGGAAAACTTGGGAGCTTGTGACAGCATTAAATGAATTGCTCAAAACCAGTAGGTACATAATAAACTTCTATTGTTAAATTCTAACCATTATGATTTTTAAGCTACTCTTCACAGTTTGGTTCTCTAAATGTGGGGTGGATTCTGGAGTTGGCATTTCTGGAATTTTAAGTATTTAAGGTAACATAGTAAAATATAATGACTATTTTTTAACATACAACAGTAAATACTGCATTGCTTTAAGGCTTTGTAATAGCAATTTCATACGTTTCATGTTGAATTACATCAAAAATTGGTAACATTACTCCAGTTTTAAGAGAAATATAACTAGGGGCTGGGGATTTAGCTCAGCGGCTTAAGCAGGCAGTCGTGAGTTCGATCCCTGGTACCGATAAAAAAGAAAAAGACAAAAAAAAAAAAAAAAAAGAGAGAGAAATATAACTAACTGGAACCTCATCTAACATTTATATCTACTTTGATTCATCATAACAGGCAACAGATAAAACAGAAATAAGTACTGAGAATTTGACCAAACTTGGAATGGTGGTAAAACTTCATTACACATAAAATTATTCTGACTTGAGACTCTTAAAACCTCTATGTTCAACATATAGCTTACAGATGAGTAAATGGCTGCTATGGGAAGATAATACACAGTTAGAAAATGAGTTTAACTAACACAATGATGGAAACTCAAAAAGAACAGTGAAGAAAGGCGATGGCAAAACTCAGATGGATGATCCGCCAAGGAATATTAGAGAGCACTGGATAAACCTTTAACACTAATCAAATACTTACAAGTATATAAACAAACTGGTATTCTGATATGACAAGTTAGGATGTGACAATGAACCTGAGTGGGTGCAATTTACAAAGGCCTAATGTGAGGAATTCACTTTATTTTTTAATTTTTACTTTAATACTCCTTTACTTTAATTCACTTTAATACTCCTCTGTTAAATAAATAAATAAATAATAATATATAATAATATATATAATAATAATAAATAATAAATAAATAAATAAATAACCAAATCACAAATTACCAAAACTCCAAGATTAGTCTCAAGAAGTAAGAAACAAAAAAGCATCTACCTTGTCAATAATGGATTGCATATGAGATTTATGAGACTGGTCTCCATAAAGCAAAGATGACCACTGGTCTGGGGCAATTCTCAAGCCTGCTTCCATAGCAATCTGCACTATCTGGGAATCATGCTCTCGCCGCAGAGCTTCATACGTTCTGAATTCTTCTTTCAGTTGCATCAAAGAAGAATCTTCATCACGCTTAGTGACCTAGTAAAATATAAATAGTCTCATAATAAAGGAGAAAACCCCAGTAAGTTTATATATTAATACATATAGATAATTTGTGTGTATGTGAGATAGAGATTAAACCTAGAGCATCTACAGGGAGCTATATCCCCAACCCATTTATTAAATTTTTATTTCAGAAAAAGGTCTCACTACTAACTTGCCCATGCTGGCCTTAAACTTGTGATTCTCTTGCCTCAGCCTCCTTAGTTGCTGAGATTACAGGGGCGCACAACAGCATGATTTTTAACGTAACAAGTCTCTCCCAGCAACAATAAAAAGATTAGCCAGGCATAGTGGTACATACCTGTAATCCCAGACTTTTGAGACACTGTAGTCAGTGTCTCAAAACAAACGAACAAACAACAACAACAAAAACCCCAAATGCTCCCCCTAACAAAAAAAGGCAGTATACTTTCGCTTGTAACATTCCCCATTATAGATGTCAAAATTTTCTGGGACAGGTTTATGAAAAGAATAAATGTGTGTAGGATTGAAATTCAAAGATTGGGTGAATTTAACATATTCATGCATTTTAAAGTGTACGTATGAGTTGGGCATGCTGGTGCACATCTGTAATCCTAGATACTCAGGCCAAAGGACCACAAGTTTAAGGCCAGGATGGGTAATACAGTAAGACCCCGTCTAAGAACAAAACAAACCTACCACTTAAGCACTTCATATGTGCCAGTCAGTATGTTAAATTACTTATTATTATACTATATGTTAATTCATTTAATTCTCTTGTTGATTCAGGTACTTCTGTTATCACTTTAATAACTGACATATTTTGGATCCGGCTGGATTTAGGTTAAATGCATACTGTCAAAGGAAAGAAAGTAATTTGAGTGTAGGATCACCTATTGTGCAACATATTTTGAACCGTATTTTTTGCCTTCACTTTTTATTCCATACAAGTCTGTATTATTTTAATAGAAAATTCTCCTTTCTCTTGCCTAACAAATTACAAAATATTGTAGTCAGGAATTTTAGGTTACACTGATAGTAGATTTTAAAGTGTGTTCCATTCTTATTACAAAGAAAGGCATACTTTACATTTGGGTAGGTAATCCACAGAAAGATCAAATACATAAAAACCAAGAACTATAATAAAAAATCCCTAAATTAGACAGCACCATGGTACATGTCTGTGATCTCAGCCCTTGAGAAGCAGAGGCAGGAGAATCACCATGAATTTGAGACCAGCCTGGCCTACATAATGAGACCTTCTCTTAAAAAAGACAAAAAGAAAAGAGCTCCTAAATTATATTTTGCCATATTCAAATGCAAGTCAAAAAACCAAATATATATATGGAATGAAACATTCCCTTAATACAGACTGAACTTCATTAAGTGGCAAAGTATGCTTTCTATGTACTATACTGATTTCTTTGGGCTTGGCTTTTAGAACTGTAATGGAAAAAAAATTCCAGGGGGAAGCAATATATCAAGTCCTAAAACTGTAATATACTAAGAAAATCAAATCTGTGAAAGCAGCTTGAAAAATATTTCAGATGAAAATATAAGATATACTAAAAGAAAAGTTACAACATGGCTACATGGGTACATATTTCCTATAAAGAATGACTAAGTTGGAAATATGTTAAAATTATTGTAAAAAGATTTTTTTTTTTGTAGAGTTAAGGTATAAAACCAGGCCCAATAAGCACTATATCACTAAGCTATACCCCCAACCCACAAATAATGCTTTTAACTAGAATCGAGAGATTTACTTTGTGGGTATACTGGGCATGTGTGTGCATGAACGTGCAAACACATGCCCCATGGCTTTATACATACTAGGCAAATAGTCTACCATAGCTACATTCCCAACTCTATTTTAAGAAAAGACTTTGCAAAGTTGTCCAGGCTGGCCTTGAACTTAAGATGTTTCTGCCATAGGCTTTCAGGTAACAAGCATCACAGGTATATATCACAGCACCTAGCTGAGGCACTTATTTTTCCCCACAAGTAAAAAACAATTTTGGGGAGATTATATGCTATAATAACATTGCCTTAACCATTACAACACAAGTGATTTACTGTATTCAGAGATAATCTGAACCAGTTAAAGTACTTTTGGCTACAGGTTTTGACAGTCTTAGGGGTCCTCAGGAAAAGTGTATCAGACGAGGGAATGTGATGATATCTGGAACTGACTTCCCTATAGCTAGCATGTTCATGAAGTATAGTTATGAGCTGTACCAGCAGCAAAACTTCACTTCAAGAAGTCAAGAAAATAAAACAAGACAATAAGTGATACAAAGTGAGTACCAATATTGGAGTTGGTCCCTCAAACATGGGACACAAGAGACTATGTCCAGCATTAATGTAAATGCTAAATCACAACAGTAATTGAAACGCCAGTATAGCGTATGTATAATTATAGCAGGAACAAATCTCCAAATGAAACTTGTTCGTGACAGCCACGGTAGGCACACACTTGTAATTCTAATGTTCAGGTGGTAGATGCAAGATCATGAGTTCAAGGCCAACCTGGACTATGTAACAAGACCCAGCTCCAAAACAACAAAAAATGTTTGTGTTAGATGCAGATCTGTAATCCCAGCTACTCATGAAGCTGAGGCAAGAGGATTATAAGTTCAAGGACATCCTTAGCAACTTGGTGAGATACTGTCTCAAAATAAAGTTTTAAAAAAGGCTAAAGATGGATCAGTGAAACAGTACTTGTCTAGCAATGAAGCCCTGGGTTCAATCCTCAGTATTGCAAATGAGTAAAACAAAAACTGCTTATGTTTTTATAAAGGGCACAGGGAACGTAACACTCCAAGTTTTACTTTAAGTTTAGGAAAAGAGGCTATTTTTTAAGCTGAATTTTGGTTCATACCTTGAAACAAGAGGCTCTATAAAGGAGCTGAACAACATGCCCAATGCTAGTTTTGGAGGCTTGGGGAAACCGTGGCTCCAACCTCTGCACCACGAAGAGAACCAACACTTTTCTAGACAAAGCAGAACCATCTTCTAAGGCCAGAAGAACCAGCTTTAGAGCTTCCTCTTGCATTGCTGCAATTTAGGCAAAACCAAAATGTATCACGTAGAGAAACACACTTCATCAGAGAAAGAATATACAATCATTTCTGCAGATATAACACCACAGAAGATATTTACAGATATACTTTTAAACCATTTTGCTGGCAACTTGGTCTTATACTGCATATATTTAATAAGGTATTCATGCCTTTATTTAAAAACTTCTCTCAAAAAGAACCAACTCTGGGTATTAAAAGGAAACATTTAAAGTTTTTGAAAAACTAACAGGATTACTTAAGCTAGCATTTTTTTTTTTTTGTCTTTTTCATTTTTATCGGTACTGGGGATCAAACTCACGACCACCTGCTTGCAAGGCAGGTGCTTATGCCACTGAGCTAAATCCCCAGCCCTAAGCTAGCATTTTAAGTGGGACGCTACTTGTTAACAACAGAACAGTCTGAAGCATGCACCTCCTCTCCCTGGTAATCAGTGGCAGTGTGGTGGACTGTGGCCCTTCCAGGGGGAGAACCAGCAGCAACTCCTGAGATCCACACCATGTTGGAACTTAGGACCCTGGGAAGCCAAACAAGCAACTCCCCTCCCCTCCCTGGTAATCAGTGGCAGTGTGGTGGACTGTGGCCCTTCCAGGAGGAGAACCAGCAGCAACTCCTGAGATCTGTACCATGTTGGAACTTAGGACCCTGGGAAGCCAAGCAAGCACCTCCCCTCCTTGGTAAGCGGTGGTGGTCTGGCAGACTGCAGCCCTTCCAGGGGGAGAACCAGCAGCAGCTCCTGAGATCCACACCATGTTGGAACTTAGGACACTGTGAAACCAAACAACCAGCCTGCCTCCCTGCTAAGCAACAGTGAACCTAGTGATGCACGGCCTAGAGTCAAATATCCCACGTCCCCTACCCGCCCCCCCACACACACACACACTGCCCATTAGCAAATGGGAACCAGAAATCTGAGCATCTCCTGGGAGGTTGACCATAGCAAATAAGGGGGACTTCCTTCTACCATCTCTTTGAAGGCAAATATTTTTATTACTGTTTTGCACTTTTCTGATTAATGGTACTGCTCTATTCAATATTCTGTTTTGATAAGTTCTATAGTGTTCTATATTTCATCTCAATTTGATATACGTGATGGAAAGAACAACTATTATAAAGATAACAAAATATACTGTGATACCTATTACTGTTATCCCGATTACCTGCTGTGAAGTTCTGTACTAATTTCACTGTTCAATCTTAGTTGGCTTTATTTTGTCTTTTTGTGTTGTATACTTTCAAAATAAAATTAAAAAAAAAAAAACAGAACAGTCTTTGTATATCACTTAGGAGTTCTTACATTACACTTCTACAATTTCTGGTAGAATATTCAATTTTGATTATATACCTGGTCCAAGGAACTGACAGCCCCTAGCTCTGACTGCTGCCCACAGATTGGAAGAGAGTTGCTGAGGATTCTGGTGCTGGAGAATGAGCTCTGTAACTGTTCGTTCACCTAAAGATCGAGCGGCTCTCATGGCACGAATTCTGCCTTCTTCTTCCACTAGTTGGCAGTGGACCAGAGTCACAAGCTTTCTTTGCATTGGGCGACTGAGAACACTTTGAGTAGTGCTATTCAGACCCACTCCTTTAGAAGAGAAGAAAGAAGTTATCTGTAGGTTTACAATGTAATTTTACAGTCCAGGAACACTTCCTTTGACAGGCTGATTGACTTGTGGGTGTGTGAACACCTCTGGGTCCTACTAAAATATTTAAAACAAATAAAACAAGACAGGAGCATTTTAAAAATATACAAACACGTACATAAATCTCCTGTAAATATTCAAATACTATCATACATTTAATTATGAGGGATGGGGGAAGAGGCCAGGCAACATGAAAAATTAGTTTAAAACCCAAATCTTGAAGTTCTAACAGTTTTAGTATATTATTTCATAGTGTCTAATCTTTTATAATTAAGTAGTATGTGCTTTCTGGGAAGTGATGACAACTTCTATTTTTATTACAATATATCCTATAACATCATTTACAATTAGTTAAGAGACTATTTAGAACTGTCAAATGACAAGAGAAAGCATTTGCACTGATTTTATTTTGTTTTTTGAGACAGGGTCTTGCTATGTACATCCAAGTTGGTTTTTTTTTTGTTTGTTTGTTTGTTTTAATGGTACCAGGACTCAAAATTCACGACCTTGTGGTTGCCAGGTAGTCACTGTGCCATATCCCTGGGCCCAGTTCAGGTTGGTCTTGAACAACTATATAGCCTAGGCTGCCCTCCAAATCATAGCAATCTTCCTGCCTCAGCTTCCCGAATGCTGGGATTCCAGGCATGCACTACCATACCTGGCTGCTTATACTTACTTTTGCCATCAATTCGAATAATGTTTCCAGCATCAAACAAACTCTATTTTATTTGATGTGGTAGTATTACTTAACATAAAATGGGTTTGATTTACACTAAATAAATTTTATTGGCACTCTCAAATAGCTTACAACTTCAGAGATAATTGGAAGTGTCACTTGGATGTCTGCTTAGCATGAATAATTTTATCAGGTTTACCTCTAGCACTGCTGAGTGGTTTCAGGTACAATGCTAATTCTTCTACACATTTCTTGGCTTCCTCATAATGCTTTGTATCTTTAACACCACTACACAATGTAATGGACTGCTGCTCAGGGACCTAGAAGCCAAAAGAAAAGGTCTGAATATACATTAATTAACAAATAAGTTCATGAGTGCAGTTTATGAACTGCTAACACTGACAATGGAAACTACTAAATTTACTTAATGCTTTCAAAGGCTTTCTTTACATATGACACATCTTTGCACTGAGAATTTACTGGGCTCCGTCACTGTTTTGTTTTGAAACAGGTCTCCTTAAATTGCTCAGGAAGAGTTCAAACTTGCAATCATTCCTGTCTTTGCCTCCTGCCTGGCTTACTGCATTGCTTTGTTTCTGTAATAGCCATAATGAAAGAGAATCCACATACCAAGTGATAGATTGGTTTAAAGCACACAAGTCAATGATTTTTAGTACCTTCACTGTTGAACAACCATTACCACAATCAATTTTAGATGGGGGGTGAGGATTAAAAACAAGGTCTTTACATTAAAACCCCCAGACCTTTGAGACCCTGCTAAGGTGACAGGTTGGGTTCAAACCTGTGATCCTCTCTGCCTCTATCTCCTATTTTCATCACCCAGAAAGAAACTTTATACTTTATTATCAGTCTTCCCGTCATGTCCTCCCCATTTTCTACCATCCCTTAGGAAAAATGAATCTGTTTTCTATGGATTTATGGATTTGCCTAATTTGGACTGAAAAAATAAGAATCCCACAATACATGGGCTTTTCTGACTGGCTTCTTCCATTAAGCATGTTTTCAAGGATTGTCTAGCCTGTAGCAGTCATCAGTACTTCATTTATTTTTACTGATGAATAGCATTCTATTATACATGTGTACAACATTTTACTTATGTAGGCATTAACTGGTAAGCAGATTGTCTTGAGTTTTCTGTTTTTGACTAGCATCAATAATGAACATTGTATACAAGTTTTTACGTGACATTTCTGTTTTTCTTGAGTATATATACATAAGAGTGGTAACTTTCTGAAACTCTTTCACACTATTTTCCAAAAGTGGAATACCATTTTATAACATTTACTAACTACTTTTTACTATCATTATCAATTTTAGTAGGTCAAAAGTAGATTTTTCTAAATTTTTTTTGGCTGTGGGAACCAAATCCAGGGCCTTGTGCATTCTGTTTATTTTTAATTTATAAAAAATAGTTGTATATATTTATGGGGCACAACACAAATCAGGTTAAGAAAATTATCACTGGGGCTGGGGAATTAGCTCAGCGGCATAAGCGCCTGCCTTGCAACTGTATAGTCATGAGCTCGATCCCTGGTACCGATAAAAAAGAAAAAGACCAAAAAAAAAAAAAAAGAAAATTATCACTTCAGATGCATTAAAAAAATTCATTATACTAAAAGTGACATCAACTCCCTTCTTACTCTCCCTTGCTTAGAAAAGATTTATCTTACTGTTTTTGACACTTTCTGAAACAGCTCTGGAAGTCTATACAATGATCACTAAAGCTTACTGCTCGTGTCTAACTGAAACTGAGTACCTGTGATCATCAGCTCCCTTTTCCCCATCTATTCTCTCCCTCTCACTACAACTTTGTGAAAGGCTGGACACTGAATCCAGCGCTTCTAGTATGCTGTATCAATCCTCTACCTCTGAGCTATGTGCCCAGCCCTAATGTAATTTTAATTTGTATTTCCCTGACTGAAGATGTTCAAATCCTTTATGTGGTTATTGGCTATTTGTCCATCTTTCTTGGAGAAATATCTAGTCAGATCTTTTGCCAACTTTAATGAGTTTATGAATGGTTGTAAATTATATGTCACCCAGCCAGGTGGCTAGAACATGTACAACTGTCCTTGGACAGTTTTTTATTAATTTTATTAATAGAGCAATGACAGTGATTAGATGTTTGTACCACCAGTGGTTCAGGCTGGCAAGAATGTGTTAATAAACCTTATTTTACAGAGGGATTTTATTTTATTTATATTTTGGTCTTGTTATGTCATCAGTCCAGGCTGGCCTCAAACTCACAGCAATCCTCCTGCCTCAGACTCCCAAATGCGGGGGGAATACATGTGTAACCATACTTGACTAGAACAACTTTAGATTTACAAAAAAATGACAAAGATAGTACGGAACATTCTATTACCCTGCATCCATTATTATTAATGTCTTATATTGGTATAGAAGTATGAAAGGTAGGCTGTTCTTTTTCTTTTTTCTTTTTTTCTTTAAGATCAGGTCTTACTACCAGTGCAGGCTGGTCTTGAACTCACTTAAGTTGCCCAGGCTGGCCTCAAACTCATGGTGATTCTCCTGCCTCAGCCTCTTGAATGCCAGCCTTATGAAATGAACAATTACAGGAAGAAAATAAAAAGGATCAACTCCATTTTTCTTTTTGACAAATATTTAGCAGCACTGGTGACAACAAGATAGGCTTGCAAATAAAGTAGATTTTCTTTATGAGTAAGCTATTTTGGAACAGTTGACTTTATCTCCAGTACACATAATATCAACATTTGTCATGTTTTAGCATTTTATAGAAAGATTAATCTTTGACTTATGGTAAATATATGGGACTTTAGACTCATACTGTATAAACAGTGAGGACTGTCTAAATGAATTGTTTCTAAAAACTTGCATATTTTGGTTTTAAATCTTGTGAGGACATTGGTCTCTAATTTGAGAATATTTACATAAAATTACCTTCAGAACTGCTAGGCTCAGATGTATATATCAAGGATATTGCTCTTACTCTAAACAAACTATTTACAAATGCTGCACTCAATACTTTTGTCACCTTTCTCATCTTAAAATTGGTATCTACTAAGTAAAACTGTCTGAAGCAGCTTCATCTTTCCTACTGAGGACAGTGCAAGGATTTATGAACATTTTCCTCAGTGGTAGGTTCTTATGACTTATCACTTAAGTTTCTTTACTAATGCATATGTATAGGACTGCTGAAAACCAAGCCACAAGATGAAACAGATGTTTCTATACTATAACTGAAAAACAATGGGCTACAACAATAAATCTAACATACAAAATAAAGGATTTGTACAGTAAAAAATTTTACCTACTTAAATAGAAGGCAACATTACTCAGTTTTAATTCAACAAATTTCTCTAAAAGGAAAATATGCACCACAAAGGATAAAGAATGAGGTCATTGATCTTACCTGAGCACCCACTAGCTGTAGCAATGCTGAGTTCACAGGGAGGAGCTCAATGTCTGTATTGATAGTGGTCTGGTCAAATGGGCAAGCCTTGCGGTGGAGTTTATTCAGGCACATCTTGCAGACAGTATGGCCACACCCCAAACTGATGGGTTTCCGAATTGTTTCGTCGAAAGTCTGAGTGCAAATTGGGCAGGAGAGGAAATCCGTCCATTGTGGAGCTTGTACAGGCATTGCTTCTGGAGTTACAATTCACTAACGCACACACACACACAAAATCTAAAGCAAAGATTCCACTGGAATCAAAATCTTTGAAAAAAAGTTTATCTTTTTTTTTTTTTAAATTATCTTCTGTAGATACAGTCAGCACATAGTGTGAAATTTAACCTGGAAAAACAGAGAAAAAAATTAGAGTATGTCTTTTGCTTCAATTAAACTTTTAAAAAGCAATTCAAATTCATTCATTCTCTGCCCTACAACCTCTCAAAACACTTTTAATAATCCATCTTTTTGTAACTTTACAGAATTAAAGCCATAATAAAACATCCAGTGTTGTTCCTTCATTTAGAGATGGGGAATAGTTTCCAAAAAGACGAAATAACTTGCATAAGGAATCATGTGTGGTGGTGAACATCTGTAATTCTAGCATTCAGGAGGCTGAGGCAGGAAGAATGCTGTGAGTTTGAGGGCAACCTGGTTACACAGTGAGTTCAAGGTCAGTCTGAACTACATAGCAAGACCCTGTCTCAAAAAAACCAAATCCAACCCCCTAACCTGAGAGAGAGAGAGAGAGAGAGAGAGAGAGAGAGAGAGAAGGGAGGGAGGGAGGAAAAGAGGGAGGGAGGAAGGGAGGGAAGGGGAGGGGACGGGAAGGGAAGGGAGGGGAGAAAAGGAGAGAGGAGGGTGGGAAAGAAGGAAAAGAAGGAGAAAGAGAAAAAAAGAGAAGGAGGAAAGAAAGAAGGAAGGAAACTCACTTAAGGTGACACTTGTAGTTAGTAACAAAGTTAAATCCAGGACATTTAAGTCTCTTAATTTTAAGCCTCTAACTTTTTATATACTGTGCCAACATACAAACACATATTCACATATGTATATGTTTAAAAGTTAACTTTCTGGAGAGTTGGGAACTTAGTTCAGTTGTAGAACACTTGTCTAGTGAGTCTAAGGCACTGAGTACGGTCTCTAGAACCAAAATAAATAAATGGATAAAACTTTTAAGGATTAATTCTTTTCTAACACGCAAGAGGCCCTAGTGATTTGATCAGCAATGAGAATGAGGAAGAGACATGACAAAACAAAAATCTTTTTTAGGACTAATAATAATAATTTTGAACTGGACATGTTACATTGGTCTCTTCAGTGGTGACAAGTTATTTACTTATATGGACCTTTATGTACATTATACATCAATAAAGAAGTTTTGGAAAAACTGGCCTAAAATAAAAACTACCTTAAAAATATTTTATCATAAAATTTGGTGGAAATAATGAGCGTAAGGTGTTTTAAAAGGTTCTTCTTTTAAGTTTTAGATATTCTTAAATTCAGTATATAAGCAAGTATCTTTTTAAAGCTCCTTGCATAGCCTATATCAGTTTGTTTTACAGATATATGGTGTGTATTGCTAGGACAACATGGTTAACATATTAACTTAAAAGATTTTTAAATTCCCAGCTGGGTATAATGGGGCATACTTATAATCTCAGCACTCAGGAAGCTGAACTAGCAGTATCACTGTGAGTTTAAGGCTGGCCTGGCTAATAAGAATTGAAGAGCAACCTGAACTACATAGACAAATGCTATATTTAAAAAAAAAAAAAAAAAAAGACCTTAAACTTTGAAATTTAGAAACAAAACAATTGCCTGAAATCTTAGCAATGTCTGTAATCCTAGCATTCTGGGAGGCAGAGAAAGGAGGATCATAAATTTGAGCCTCTGTCAAGCAATTTGGTGAGATTCTGCTTCAAAATTTAAAAAGGGATAGGGATATAGTTTAGTCCATTGGATTTGATAATAAGCACTAAAAAACAAACAAAACTTCTAGCATGTATTTTAAACAATAACTACTATATTTACTGATAATTTTTTTAAAATGAGAATTGATGAATAAAGTATTATAGTATTATAATTTATTAGAGATGTGATTCTGTTCAGGGCTTGATTCACAAAGTAAAACTAAATCTTAATTATTGATTCAGAGTAATTTCCTTTAAGTATGTTAAAATCTATCCATTCATTCAACAAATACTTACAAACACTATTATATGTCAGACTATTTAAATTGTGGGGGAAATAGTGGGACACCAGTCATGGTTATCTGCCTTTGTGTAGCCAACAGTCTCATTATAATTCAACTTTTGAGATTTACAAAGTATGCTACTTAGCTTAGCATGCACCAGACCCTGTGATCAATTCCCAGTACCACAAAAATAAAGTTTAACCCCCACGAAAGAACACTAAAATGAAAATAATCCACAGAAAGAGTAATCGTTTAGTAAATAGTGCCCAAGTAAATTTCATATCAGTTCTATCATTACCTACATGTAATTCAAATTGCTCTCACAATAGAGTATATTGTGAAACTATCTATACTTTGACTTCTACAGTAAAACATATTCTAAATAAAATTCACTACAAATAAACAGTTAAAAGCAGGTTTATATTATTGCTACTTAATATGTTCAAATTGTCTTCTAGATGCCGAAAAAGAAAATAAGGCTATGATGTCCCTTCATGATAGCCCACCCCACAGTGTAGGTTGTGTTTTTTTTCTCCCCTTTTACTCAGCCCAAACTTGCTCTGCGGAGTTCCTTTTCACCCCTTTGCCCTTCTGTTTTTCCTGATTTTAATAAATGTGAAACTTGGAAACTATAAAAAAAAAAAAATGGCAGCCATGGTGGCACATACCTGCAATCCCAGCACTCGGGAGGTTGAGGCAGGAGGATCACTACAGGTCCTAGGCCAGCCTGGGGCTACATAGTGAACTCAATGCCAGCCTCAACTACATAGCAAGACCCTTTTTCAAACAAACAAAACAAAACCCAAAAAAGAAAATAAAATATCTGATAATTTAATTGATTGCAGAGTCAAATGCTATAATGGTCCATAAGGCTGTAGTACATTTTAAAATAAAATAAATAAATTTTTAAAAGGTGTTTAGAAGACATAACATTCAAAATGAGAGCTGAATATCTGAAAATGTTGCTGAAGCTGAGTGAGTTGATAAAGCACTCACCATATTCAACTTTACTAGTAATTAGCAAGGCAGTTTGTATTAATGCCTACGAAGAATCTGATCCTGTGCTAATCTGTGCAAAAACATAGGGACATTCAATAGCTCTTTTTAAAAAATACATTTTTATCAGTGTATGTTTGTGATACATAATGAATACATTCATCATGGGGAGCTGGTACACATACATATCACATGTTAGTTCTTCCTTTCTACTGGTATAAATTTTGCTGGGGTTTTTTTTGGTACTGGGGATCAACATCACAACCTTGCGCTTACCAGGTAAGCGCTTAAGCCACTCACTGAGCTAAATCCCCAGCCCTCTACTAATATGAGTTTTGATGAACTTGGATTTTTAAAATTAATCAAAAAGACAGAACACTTTAAACCCTTAAACACTATACAAATCTCAAAGGGTACAAAATACTGTACATCATTTTAAGTTTTTACTATTCACATGGCCACGTGCCACATACTGTGCTAACTGCCTCACTACTGCATCCCAAAAAAGTTAGAGTAACTTAGTAAGCTAAAAACAAAACAACCACACACACACAACAAATACAGATATATTAATCTAGATATTGAAATCCAAAACTTGTAACCACAAAATTGAAGATGAAATACAAAAAGAGAACTATTTATAGTTTCACTTAAAATCCATATCAGATACTGGCTATGGTGTAAACTATCACAACCTCCTTTCTCTAATACTGACTGACCTCATAGACATTCTGGTCTTATGGCAAACTTGCCAAATCCAATGGTCAGGTTATTGTTTTAATCTTGCCTTCTCAACAAGGTATGAAACAGATGAACCTCACTTTCAAAGTGTCAACGAATGACATTTCTTTCCTTCTCAAAACTGAACTCAAACTTCTAAATGCTAGAGTCCTTGTGGTTTTATATTGTTTCCTTTTATTAAAAAAAATCCTTTTCCAGCCAGAGGTTTAGCTCAGCGGTGTAAGTGCCTGCTTGGCAAATGGGAGGTTGTGAATTTGATCTCTACCCCCCGCCCAAAAAAAAATCCTTTTCTAGTTTAAAACCTGGAAATGCCTAGAAATCCAGATTTCTTTCTATGGTTTACAAACCACAAGTGATATGACCTATAATTATCTTTCCAACTTCATCTTCTAACATTTTTTTATCACTGGATTTTAATGCCAGCTATTTTCTGTCTAATCTTTGAACTAGATGCCCCTCTTTATCATTTAAATGCTACCAAAAATGCCAAACAGGCTAGGGATGTAGTTTGCAACAAAGCACTTGCCTAACAGCAAGTGTGAGGCCTGGGTTTGACACCCAGTGCCAAAAGCAAGCAAGGAAGGAAGAAAGGAAAGAAGAAGCCAACTACTCAGAAGCTTTCCTTGGCAACTTACAACTCTTTAATACCCTCTAGGTCACTTTCATTCCACCACAGTGTTGTTCACAATGAAAGCCATAGATCCTCACTCTGAAATTTCTAAGAGTCCAGAGACCTATGAAAAATTTACTAATAGATCCCTTGGATATTTAAGATCTCCAGATTAAGAAATTCTAATCTATGTTATTCTTTCAGGAATCTTAAAATTGCACCAAGTATATGAGATTTTCTGTGTGTTTGGCATTCCAAAAATTTGAAAGCATACAGAAAATATGATATTAGTTTAGTATTTCTTTGCTCTCCTGCATAATTTAGGGCAATGCTGTCATAACAAAAATTTCCAAACTGTCATTCTGTAACAAGAATGTCCTAAAATAAAATCATAAAATTTTATTGGTAGAAGATACTTCAGAGAACACTGAGTTCTAGCTTAACTAATTTTTCAATATGAGGCAACTAATATTTACTTATGTCCCTAATAATATCAAGTATTATTAAGCTTTTGAATACCTTTTTTCATTTAATCTTTAAAGTTCACAGTAGCTGGTACCATTTTCCCTATTTTTACAGAGAAATAAAATAACATTCAGAGAGTTGTTTCTAGGGGTTACAGACTAGCTGAAATTTTCACTGTATCAACTTAACAAGGAATAGACCAATAACAAGAGGAATGGGGATGGGGATTTAGTTCAGTGGCGTAAGCGCCTGCCTGGCAAGCGTGAGGTCCTGAGTTGGATCCACAGCATCAAAAAAAAAAAAAAAGAGAGAGAGAGAGAGAGAAGTAAAAGTTTCACT